TCACACTAAAATGAAATATATGTTAATGGGGCTTTTTTAAAAAAGCATACTGATGTGGAAATGTGGAGCACTGAATTTAAGATTGGAAAAATAAGATCAGGTTTCAAATGCCCACTAAGCCATGTGCGGTGAACTACTGGCTAATTTTTGCTTTTTTTTGAGAAGAAAACTCTGGAGACTTAGGGAAGTTAAATAGGAAAAAAATAATTTATTTAACAGAACAAAGTTGGTAAAACAAAAGATGTGTCAGGAGATAGAATACTTTCAGAAAACAGTAAACTATAAAAATGGTGAATTCACTTGATGTTACAGGTGCCTAAACAAGGTGGTAAATGCACATCTTATCTTCAGTTACTTCACTTCAGTTCATTAAACTTAATTGCATAGTTGTTACCGCTTAATACTTTGGTTCTTAAACAAGGTGGTACTTTCTGTCAGTTTTCCAGTCTTCTATAAATGAGGCTCATGAGGCTCCCCTAGTAGTATTACAGAGCCAGGGGGTCACCACATTCCTCCAACTGGTTTGGGATGATTTTCTTTCCAGAAGATCACTTCCCTTCTGGCTGAAATGAGACCCAAGTAGGGTTTTCTCTTGTCTGTATACTTTTACAAAGACACTAATTACTGTCTTTCAAACTAAGCTCAGAGACTTCCTTCTCTGGCTACAGATATTTTCCTCAGAGTGGATTTTGCACATACACTCTGCTGAACACCAGAACTAAAACTTTCAACTCTTTTCTCTCTCCCCCCCCCCCAATTTGCTGTCTCCACCCTCTACTCTGGCTAGCTGTACGTGCAGCCAATCGGAGTGAAACTAAAGCTCAGTGCATTGGCGCACTGTATTACCAAACTCTAGCTGAGTTTTTCGCCACATGTCCCACCCTTCAAGATCATTGCAAAATGGGAGGTTATCTCAAACCTCTCCTGAGCAATGGGTGAGCATACAGGTAGCAGACCATTTTGCACATTTTCTTAATTGCAGTTATTTCAAAAATCACACATTGCAATATCAGTTTCCATTATTAACACCAGAAATTCAAGGCAAATCTCCGTGTTCTTGTCGTTTATCCTTGGTCCACACAAAATCCCCCCCCCCCAGCGCAAACACGTCTACCCTGAGTGCCAACAACCTCAGCTTCGCTGCTGACCCCAGAACCAGGACCACAGCTTGCCCGAATTTGGGAAGGACAAAAGGGTTCTAGGAGCCTGTCAAGAGTCCTGGAGCTTCCTTTCCAGAAGCAGATGCCTCGCTTAGATGGAGCATGGGATTGAGAGCGGTGCTGGCTGTTTCTCTGCACATGGTGCCAGAGGTGATGTGGTGCAAAATTGATAAGATTCATTTGGGCACGCCAAATTGTTCTCACAGAGGAGTCCATTTTGTGAAAGATTACAGTGTGTGTCCATGTCGTCTGGTTTCAGGAGGGTGGAGTGAGGGCTCTGGGATGGGCCAGAGCCCTAGCACCGCCTCCCCCAAGCTGGAAACCTAGTAAGTGCTTGCCCATCTTTGGAAAAGAGGGAAGGCTAGAGCCCTGGCTCTTCCTTCCCAGACAAGATCCGTAACTGAGAAGATCCATTTGTGAGTGACAAATCATTGGCCTCAAATGATTACCAAAGTCCATCCATATTATCTGTCTTGCGCAGGAATGAATAAATGGAGAATGGCTTTCCTTCATTCTGCATTTATTTATTTACTTCCCTATGCCACAAAGCTGCTGCTTATCCCATGGAAAAAAGCCCGATTATTTACTTCTGAATTAAAAATAATAAACATTGCCCAGTTATTTAAACCTTGTTCCTCCCTTTTCCCCTTCTGCGTTTCTGTGTACGCATTTGTGTGTCTGTGTCTTCCACGTGTCTAATAGGGAACATTCTCTTTCATTTGATATCTATGCTACTAATTACTTCTACAGCTTGAATTTTAGAGAATGTGTGCTAATTAAAAATAAAAAAATCTGTACTTTAAAATAAGAGTGGTAACAATATGTTACAGGTAAGTAAATATTTATAAGTTTAGGACCTCTAAGTGATAGCAGTTGCCTGGACATTACCCCGACTGCCCATAGACAGTTGCATCCTTATTTCAGACATTGTGCTACATTGCGGTGACATATCACGATGTCGAGGTGGCTCAAAATCGGACTTTGCACAGGACGCCATTTTGTAAACAATTTCCAAGTGCCGTCCATTTTGTGTGCCTTTGGAGAGGGCGGTGCAAGTTCCTTGAAATGATGCCAGATCCTGGAACTGCCTTCCCCAAGCCGGAAGCCTAGTAAGTGCTTGCCCATCTTTGGAAAGGAGGGATGGGCTCTAAAACCTTGCCTAGAGCATGCGCAGTTTTCACACACACACACACACACACACACGCAGCCGGAAAAACCTCACATGATTGCATCTTTGAACAAGTGTCTCTATGCCTGTCTCTGTGCTGGGAAAGCACAGCGCTTGGCACTGTAAGCTTTTTCTGCCTCACCTTTGCAAAGCCCCACATGTTTCTGACCAATCCTGCCTATAGCCAGCAACCCCCCCCCCCTTAGAAACCTGGGGTTATTTACTTCTGAGTTGAAGATAATAAATATTGCCCTATTGTTTAAGACTCTTCTCTGTGTCTCCCATGTATCTATTAGGGACCATTTTCACACCTTTCCGTTGATATCTATGTTACTGACTACTTCTGCCGTTTTAATGTTAGAGAAGGGGTTTAATTTTAAAATGATCTGTACTATAAAATAACAGTGGTAACAATACGTTAAAGGCAAGTAAATATAAGTGTCAGACCTGTAAGTAGTAGCCGTTGTCAGGACATAACCCATTTGCCTCTACATAATTCCATCCTTATTTCAGACATGGTTCTATATTGGTATATCACAATGTTTAGCTGGTGACAAATCACGATGCTGATAACCAGACATCGTCCAGCCCCGTTGCCGCCCCTTTCCTTTGTGACCTATGTTTATTTAGGATGCTTATTTCAGTCTGCCAACTCCCATGAGCACAGAACCTCATTTATGATAAAATAAATTGCATGCAGCACTTGGGGTTTTTTTGCTTCTTGAGGTACTTAACGCTGTTTCAAGTCCATTAGTGCTATTCTCATTTTTACATAGAGCCATAGTATTTACGTAATTCATCCAAAAGTCTGAGGTGGTGCAAAATTGAGAAAATCCACCTGGGGGCGCCAAGTGGTCTCATATAGGGCACCATTTTGTAAACAATTTCAAAGTGCCGTCCATTTTATCTGGCTCCTGAGAGGGCAGAGCTCCTGGGTGCTGTCAGAGCCCTGGCACCACCTTCCCCAAGCCGGAAACCTTCCCCATCTTTGGGAAGAAGGGAAGGGCTCTAGGACCCTGTTGCCAGAGCCAGAGTTCTGGCAGTTCTCCTGCACAGTGCCCCTAATATTGAAGATCCATTTGGGGACGACGGAAACCTTATATGATTGCAACTTTGTGCAGGTGTTTCTGTGCCAGGAATAAATAAAAGGAGAGTCGGTTACCTCCACACTCCATTTATTTATTACTTAAGCCCTTTCTGCCTTGCCTCCCCAAACATGGGCATAGCGGGGGGGGGGGCAGTTCTCCACATCAAGTAAATCAATAAAAATACTTAACTGAGCTTCTGCCGCCTTCCCAACGTGAAGCCTGCTGCCCCTAACATAAATCCTGACTACACCTATGTCTCCAAAGCCCCAATTTTTTCTGCCCCCCCCATTCTCAGCCAACCCCCAGCCCCCTTAGAAGCTGCCCTGGGCTTCTAAGTTAAAAATTACAATAATAAACCTTGTAGCATTATTTAAGATGTGTTCATTCCTTCTCCCCTTCTGTGTGCATGTGTGCAGTTCTGTATCTGTGTCTCCCACTTGTCTATTAGGGACCTTGCTCTCACCTGTCCTTTGATATCTATGCTACTAATTATTTCTGCAGCTTGAATTTTACAGGAAGTGTTCTAATTAAAAGAACGATCTATACTATAATAAATAACACTTTCAGACTTCTAATCAGTAGCAGTTGCCCGGACATTACCCCAGTCACCTCTACATAGTTCTATCCTTATTTCAGACATCACGCTTTATATTGCGGTGTTGACATATCACGATGTCGAGGTGGCCCAAAATCGGACTTTGCACAGGGCGCCATTTTGTAAACAATTTCAAACTGTCGTCCATTTTGTGTGCCTTTGGAGAGGGCGGTGCACGTTCCTTGAAATGATGCCAGAACCTGGAACTGCCTTCTCCAAGCCGGAAGCCTAGTAAGTGCTTGCCCATCTTTGGGAAGGAGGGACGGGTCTTAGCTCTTCCTTCCCAGAGCCTGCAGTTTTCCTGCACATCATGGATATTTAGCAAGTGAAATCTCTGGATATCTCCCAGCTCTACGTTTATGTAGGGTAGCCACTTCATTCTGTCAACCTCCATGCCTTTTCAAGAAGCAGGACCTCATTTATGAACCTCATTGCATGTATGACCCACTTTTCTTGGGGTGTGTGGTATTCTTCCTGGCGTACTTAATGCTGTTTCTAGTCCATTATTGCGATTCTCGTTGTTACACAGAGCTGTGTTATTACAGTCACTCAGAAATCCTAAATGCACCTCTAGCGATTGGAACCCTGGGACAAAAATGTATAATGCCTGTAACCCCCCCCAACTGGTTCCCCAGCAAGATAGAGGGCTGCGTACCCCACTTTGGGAAGGCAGGTGATGGTTCCAGCAGCGTCCCAAAGCCCTCTGCCCCCCTTTCCCAAAGCCCTGTAAATGTTTGTTCAGCTTTGGGATGGACAGAAAGGGCTCTAGGACCCTGCAGAGCCGTGGAGCTTCCTTCCTAGAGCCAAGCGCCTTGCTTAGCTGCAGTGCAGGATCCGGCAGTTTTCCTGCACAGGGCACCCAAGCTGAGGTAGTATAAAATGAAAAGATTCTTAATTGAGAAGATCCACTTGGAGACCCCAAATATTGGCCTTGCACAGGTTTGTGCCATTTTATGAAAGATTACAAAGTCTGCCCATTTTGTCTAGCTTTGAGAGGGCGGAGCTAGGGCCCTGGGAGTCCTGGCACCACCTTCCCAAAGCTGGTAAGTGCTTTCCCATCATTGGGAAGGAGGGAAGGGCTCTAGGACCCGCCAGAGCCCTGGATCTTCCTTCCCAGATCCAGAGCAGTGCCAGCAGTTTAGCATGCCAGCAGTTTTCTTGCACAGGGCACCAAGCCTGGGGTGGCAGAAAATCGAGAAGATCTGTTTGGGGGCAGAGACCCGGAATTTCCTTACAGAGCTGGAGCAGGGTGCGGAGCAGAGTTGGCACAAAATTGAGAAGATCCACTTGAGGAGAGCGCCCATACTTCCTGCCAGAGCGATGCCTGCAGTTTTCCTGCACATGGCGCCAAGCCTGAAGTACCCCAAAACTGAGAAGATCAATTTCGGGGTAACAAATACTGGAAGCCTAGTAAGTGGTTGCCCAGCTTTGGGATGGAGGGAAGGACCTGCAAGCTGATATGCTGCACAAGACTTACTGAAGGCTCTGATGTCTTTTCCCTATTTTTCATTATTCTAAGAGGTCCAGATATTGGTGTCTCATGGGCTAGCTGGTGTATTTGCAGCCTGTACTTTCTGGGAATCACTAACTATCTTCTTGTTTCCCAGAGGGCAGTACACTTCCTCTTCCTAGACACCCGGTACAATCTCTGTTCAATAATTTCAAGTATGCAGGGAGCCTCCACAGTTACTTTGTTCCTCCTGGAGTTGGTGGCTGGGTGGGAAATGGAAGCAGTACGCATGCACATTCAGTTGCCAAAGGCGTCCATGTCACCTAGGAGATTGCAGCCACAGAGATAAAAAAAATTAGTTGCCTGGTGAAGTCACTTCCTGGTTTGCATGGCAAAGCTGGGGTTTTTTCAACAGAGTCCAGGGACAGAAGCGCACAGGTTTATTGAGGGAGCACCTGGTGTTGCAGTTTTGCACTCTCTACAGTTTTACGCCTGCACTGCTGCTAGGAATTCCATATAATCCCTGTTTATATATTTTTAAACTCTCCAGATCTGTAAAACATTGGCTGGTTTCTCAGGCTGGCTTAGCTGTGAGCAGAGTTTGTGGGCTGATTTGTGACAGGCTCTGTCTTTCTAATAAACTCAATATTTTTGACAGAAGCCGATATTTTAGCTTTCTCTAATTTTGCACAGTGATTTCTTGTGTGTCTCATTTCCTGGCAGTGAAAACAAATTAACTTTCCCATTTTATTTTGTTTGGTTTTTGGTGTCTCAAACCTTTCTTTTCCTGAAGGTTCCTGAGAATAACAACTCTCCCATGTCCCCTTTTATCTTGTCCAGGAAATCTGCTGCTTCCATCACTGTTTGCAGCTTTTTATCCCTCAAAAACCAAATAAAGTGTGAGGGGACATGTGTAAAGAACTGCTTCAGTTCTTCAAATGTCTGAACTGTACATCCCTCAACCCATCTATTTAAGGCTCTATCTAGGAGGCAACCTAACTGGACATACATTTCACCAGTTTCCTTTTAATATCTCTAATTGTTTTTCTGCTCTGTTCAACAATGAGCCCAAATCATATCCTCACTCTTTCCTTAAAGAGTAAACAATCTGAGGTTTCTTTATTTCTCGTCTCTGAGTAAACCTCACTGCCACATATCAGTGGATGCAAATATATTGTCCTGGCTTCATCTAGAACCTCCAAATCTTTACAAGTTCTCTTAGAACTAAACAAAAAAACCTTCCACGTCATCTCTTTTCTGATATTGTGGAAATTTCTTTTGTTCCACTAAGGTAACTTCCCTGCTTCTCTGTGGTACTGGTAACTCTACCCTTCAGGTGCCTCTCTTGCATTTTAAGATTGTACATTCCTTTTTCATGTTTCTCTTTATCCTGCTATAGTGACATTTTTGGCAAACTGAATCTGCTGTTCTCCTTGAAGCCTGGCTTGTTCTGCTTGAAGCTTGACTTTCCATTTTTCTGCTTCTGTTTGAATTTTGGCAATTTCAAGTTTTGTTTTCCTAAATTCTAAATCCTGACTAGAACTTCCTCAGAAGCTGCTCCTTCAGACTGAGCTTCTCCCGACTGTCCCCTTTCACTTCTAGAATTTTATGAGGGGGTGCCATTTTCTGACAAGGTTTTCCCCTCATAGAAATATAAAACACTTTATTCTACTTGCGGTTTTTTTCATTTCATATCATGACGTTACTGTCAATGGTGGTGAACCCCCTTAACTACGGGCCAAGTTTTGCTTTTTTGAAAAGAAAACCCGGAGACCTAGGGAAGTTAAAACAGGAAAAGGAGTTTATTTTACAGAACGAAGTTGGTAAGGGGGAAAAAAATGTGTCAGGAGATAGAATTCTTTCAGGAAACAATAAAGTATAAATAAGGTAAATTCAGTGGAAGTTAAATTTCTCCTATCTCCAATTCAGCTTCCCAATTTCTCTTTATGGGATTCTTCTCTTTCCAGAAGATCGCTCCCCCTCTGACTGAAATGAGACCTATGTCAAATGTTCTCACACAGCTCTGTTTCTCCTGTCCCCAATTCAGCTTTGCAGCGTTCTATTGTCCGTATACTGCTACAAAGACACTAGTCACCAATTTTCAGAATGAAAAACCCTTTTTACCGTTGTTTTTTTTACAACTCAGCACCCTGGTGGAATTCTGCTGCACTGCATCACCAAACTCTTTCTAAGCTTTCTGTCACAACCATGAAACAGCCAGCTTAACAGCTTTCTAACACGGTCACTGTGGGGAGGACTGGGAAAGTTGCAGAGAAGATGATTTAATTCTTTGTATAATTCTTTACAGTGGAAGATGTTGGTCAGCGTAGGGCTTTTTATATTGTTTTTATTTATTTATTTTAAAAAGATTGGGTTACTGTGTAAACAAACAAACAACAACAACAACAAAGACCTGGATGTTTTGCCAAATTTAAAAATCCACCAGGACAAAAATCTTAATCCTGAAAAAGAGGGTGTGTCCTGGAAAAAGAACACATGAAGCATCGTTCCATATTAGGCACTCATGGCTTCCCCCAAAGGAATCCTAGAAACTATTTATGTTAAGTTGTTAGGAGACCCCTTATTCACCTTATGGAGCTACAGTTTTCTCAGAGTGGTTTAACAATCAGCCCGTCTTCCCAGGGAACTCTGGGAATGATAACACTGTGAGGTCTTTTAATAACTCTCAGCACCCATAACAAACTGCAGCTCCCAGGGTTATTTGAGGAAAGAAATGATTGTTAAAGTGGTATGATATTGCTTTAAATGAAGCCAGATGTGGCCACAGATAGAAATTGAGAACTTTCCCCCCCATTCAAGCAGGTTTTAATTATTTAATTTTAATTATTTAATTATGCTGTTTTTAATTATTTTAATCGCTGTTTTTCACAATTACTTTTTCATTATTGGGGGGGGGCGAGTGGGTTACTGTTGAGTATTTATTTCCTAATTATTGTTTTCCCTTTTTTTGTAAGTAGCTCCGGGTATTACTGGTGGAAGAGTTGGGCATAAATATAAATTATATAATCTGATAGCTCAGAACTCAAAGCAAATACAGACAGTATAGATTATATCTGTTTAATTTAACCATGCCCCTTTCCTTTTCCAGGGTATTCTCCCCCACGCCAACCACTCGGTACAAGAAAGCCATATATCTGGAATACACAGATTCTACCTTCACACAAACAAAACCCAAGCCTGCTTGGATGGGTAAGCAAAAGGATCTTTTTTGTAGAGAGAGGGACTGCTTGTTAAACCACTCTGGGAGTCGTAGGATAATAGGGGTCTCCTAACAACTCTAAGCATCCTTAACAAACTACAACTCCCAGGATTCTTTGGGGGAAACCATTACTTTTTAAACTGATATAATACATTTTAAATGTACAGTGCAGATGGGACCGGACAATGCATAAATTGGAATCAATTATTAATTCCCCAATTTAAATAAAGCACATAAAATGAACATACGAGGAATCTCTTCTACACTCTCCAGTTGGAGGCATTGAATTCAATGGTGGGTGGAATTGCCAAAGGCATTTTCCCCTGGACACCCACACCCTTTCTGCCCCCAATTATTATTATTATTTTACCAAGCACATTAACGCTGAATTCATACAACTTAAGTTAAGTGTTACTTGTATTATGGTGGTTTTTGACACATTCGTTTTCTTGCAAGCTACTTTGTAGATCATTTGGTGAAGAGGTGGAATATTTATGTTATAGCTGCATGTCTTTATTAAGTAGATTGCTTGCTAATTTAGCATAGAATGGTTGGCTTAGGTATCCCCAAAGGGAGCTACTGATTACAAGACAGGCAGTGAAATGTATCTGTGAGTGAGGTTGAGATCTGTGAGCTGGCTGTAGAGAATGTGCCCTCTCTTGGAGCTTGTTATCTGTTCCCTTGTAGGAGTATCTCTTCCCACTACGTCAGCTCTGCTACCTACATATTTGCAAATACAGAAATGTCAAAAGTGTTCAGGGCTGTTTCATTCTAAGTAGTGTAAGTGCAAATGGGGCACTGCTTCACCAACCGCAGTCTGTGCTTAGCCCGCCTTTTCTGACTTAAACCAGTCCGGGGGGTGGAGATGGGGTAACACTGCTTATCAACTTCATTTGTTAATTCAGGTTTTCCCCATTTGTTCCGATCTACTGCTAAAAAGAGGGCTTTCAATGGTAAGCAGCAGGGCAAGGCAAAACTCACTTGGACACTCGTGCCTAGAAAGTGCGGGTCCAGCAGAAAATCACTCGAACCTCTGTTTTCCATGCACTACACAAGTGGAAGTGTGTACGAGCCTTCAGTAGGCTCATTAGCTCTGGCTCCACTTATGGTTTGGGTGCCCTGCCTTCTGTCTCACAAGTCCCAATGGGCACCAGCAGTGCTGTTTTTCTAGAAAAAGAGGTGCCTGAACTCACCATGAGCGCCTCCCTTGTTCTCTTATAATGGCAATGGCGCCCACATGAGAGGTGCCAGAACTGAGTTCTGGCAAGTTCTGGCTGGGGAGGAAGAAAAGCCCTGGCTCCATCTTCAAAGCTGACAGAGTCTGGTTCTTATTGCTCTGCCAACTCTGCCTCTGGAGTTATCAGAAAGCATAGGGTGGCCATACGCCTGGAATTTGCCGGACGTAGCTGGAATATAGCAGTCAGAAATAGTGTCCAGACGGAAATAGCTGACATGCCTGGGGAAACCTGGATATATGGCATATTGGAAGTCTATAGTTTAGTGAATTTGCAAAAAAAGCAAAACAAAAAAACCTCAGCTTTGGTCAAAACTAAACAAAAAAGCTCTATAACAATTTTTGTATCCGAATTTTCACTTTTTGAAATATAGCAACCCTAAGAAAGCTGTCCAGTGTCACCTCTCTGGGTGTTGTTGGCTGTTACCTTAGCTTTCCTGTCCACCTCCTCCACCACCCAAATCATGGAGATGCCAACACAGGCATGAACAGACAGGGATGGTTCAACCTTGTCAGAGAAGTGCTAGGCTGCTTACCCAGTCTAAGGATCAGAACCGCTTGCTGCACTAGTTGTGCCTGCCCCTTTTGCTTATTACAGGCTTGAAGGGGTGGGGTGGGGGAACTATCATTTTTGGATCGACATCTTTACTTGTGCAGCTGTATATAGAGCACCTGCTGTGCCTTTGAACAGCATTTTGCCTATGTATCACATTAATCTGAGCATTGAACATTTTGGTAAAAACTGCAACCTGAGTTCAAATTCTTAATCAAGTGGGATCCAAGATATTAAGGTTCCCATCCTCCTTCTCCCCTACAGGTCTTCTGGGCCCTACCATCCGAGCAGAAGTTCACGACAAGGTGATCGTAACCTTTAAGAATCTGGCTTCCCGTCCTTTCAGCATCCACGCCATAGGGGTGTCCTACTGGAAAGCTTCAGAGGGTGAGTTTGATACACACAGAGGACCATGTCCATTCATATTGCACACCCCTTTTAACAGAATTTGGTATGACCCACACATTCTAACACCCGATCCAAGGCTGCCCAATTAGCTTTGTGGCTGATGAGGGATTCAAACCTGTGTTTCTACAGCCATATCCAGATTGGGTTGGGTTTTTTTACAGATATATTCTGCAACATGGCATTGAAGCAATGATTGATTCATTAGTGGTGCATTTATACTGGACCATCCAAACATCATTCATATTAGCTGATCTGCAATGCTTCCCCAGTGTTACTACATTATTGTAATGGGGAGGAGTCTTGACCTAAATCACAACAAAAGTGGGATAACTCCCCACCTCCCACCACCATCCTGGAACATTTGTTGTGTAAAAAGCTACAGGATTTCTGCTGGAAGTTACAGGAGGCTCACCAGTTGTAAACAAAGCAGTGTGACTGTCCCAAAACTATTGCAGTTGCAATCAGTGTTGTGGCAGGCACTCCAGTATTTGAAGAGTGACAGACTCCAGGGGGTTCCAGTACTTATCCAAGCTTTGTTTTCCTTGGTCTTTAGAGACTGTGATGTCCTTAGGATAGCTGGTTATATTTATGCATCTATACATCCTGAGCATAGGATGGAGGAGCTCACAGCTTAGATACTCCAACAGATCTTGCTTTCCCATTAGTTTTCCAGGTGGATAACCAAAGCCATAACTTTGCATTCAGCACAGAGAGCAAGCCAAGTCTCTCTGTCTTCCAGAGCGGATGAAATAAAGACTAGCTCTTGGGCTGTTGTCCTCCTGCCTACAATATGACATGGCCAGGTGAAAGGGGCGACCCTCTCCTAGAAGAGCATTGCCACCCAGTTGTCTCTGTGGCATCCCAAACCAATCCTGTAACAGAATTGGAAGTAGGATTGGATATAATTGCCCCAGTACCATAATGAGCACAAATCATCATGAATACACAATACAAAGGACGTCTGGACAATCCCTAAGTCATGTTCAGATCCAGTGTGCTGACTCCTGTAGTGTGAAAATTAGACCTCAGTAAAAGGCTGTCATAAATAGGGAAGGGAGATAAATTCAGTTCAGTTCATATGTTAAAGCGAACCTACCTAATTCACGCTATACACAAACTGAAACAAAGAAGCCCTCTGAAATTCGCTCTTCACCAAATTTTGCAATGCAGTTTTCCACCCAAGTAATGCATACACCAAAGTGTGCTTTAACATGTCAGTGAAATATTTTTTTTAAAAAAGTATTATAATATGGGAAATTGCTTTGCAAAAATAAGTACACTAGGCAAAATCACATGCACATATGTGTATATTGCAGGGGGGAGAATCACAATAAAGTGCTGATGATGGGGAATGTAAACTTAAGATTGGAAAAATGAGAAACCAAAATTAAAAGATTCACCCATTCCTACCCTTAAAGGAAAGGATTGGCTCCAGCAACTGTAATGTTAACTGAAAGGTTGCTTATGTGTTTTCAGGGGCAGGTTATGATGATGCAAGCAGCAGGCCAGAGAAAGAAGATGATGCTGTGGAGCCTGGCCAGACTCAGACTTACGTGTGGGACATCTTAAAAGAGCAAGGTCCAACCGGGTCTGACCCACAGTGTTTGACTTATGCCTACTCCTCTCGTGTGGACAGTGTCAAGGACATCAACTCTGGCTTGATTGGGGCCCTGCTGGTTTGTCAGCCAGGTAAGACCAGGAGATGGAAGAGACCTTCCCATTTGTATCACTTTTTCTGAAATACTTGCAGACATTTCACAGACGTTTATTCAACACATTTCTATAGCACTTAATTATTCACATTTCTAAGTAGCATGCATAAAAACAACTTACAGAAAATGGGAGAATCAAACACTAAATATGTATAATAAACCAAACACTTCCTTAAAATGCTTGCTGGAACAAAAATGTCTTAGTCGTGTGCCTAAAGTTCAACCAGAAAGGTGTCTGTCTAATCTCAGGTGGGAGGGAGTTACACAGGCTTGGGCCACTACACTGAGTGCACGGCTTCTAGTAGCTACAAGCTGTGCATCTGAGCCATGGAGGACCACACCAGCTGAGACTCCCCAAAATATCTCAGTGATCAGGTCAGGATATAAGGGATCAGATATCTTGGACTCATGTTGTAAAGGGCCTTATTAGCCCTTGTCTCTGCAGCCTTACAACACTCCTAAAACATAGGCCAATATTATTATCTATATTGTTCAGAATTAGGTACAGGGCAACGAAGCTGAGAAATAGTGGCTTGCTTCATGCCAACCAATAAGTTCGTGGCTGGGATGAGATTAGTACCCAACATTGTCCAACTTATTGCTCCATGTGCTAAACAAATGTGCTATCTGGAAGACGGGAAGGAGGGGGAGGGAGAAGAAAATATCTGAGACAATGGAGAGAGTTAAAGCAACATTTCAAGAGTCCTGTTTTGTTCCGTTCTGGAAGCTACTCATTTCCTATAACACAAGGAAGGGAATTATTTTTATTGGCCCGCTGTGAGTAGAACATGGGAGCTCTTGGGAAGTGCCAGCAGTGGAAGTTTCTGAAGTGCAAATGCTTTTCATGATAACCAACCTTTGCCAAACCACTTCTAAAACTATACTACAAAAGTATGTTTTTGACCAGTGCAGGCATTATGGCTTCAGTACCAAGCCAGTTTTTTTTTAAAAAAACAAAAACAAAACCCACACCCCAGTACTTTGCTTAAACTCCAGCCAGTTGAAGAGTTCTGTTGACTAGCAGCCAGCTGCAGTTCTATTTAGCTCATGAACAGGACTTGTAAACAGGGCCGTTTGTACGGTATTTAGCAGGGGTGTTTGAGGGGGAGGCTCAGGTATATGTATGACCGAGAGACATGGACAGCGAGGGATGTGCTGCAGTGACCTTCCAACACCAGTGCCATGCTTTTCTTCCTGCCTGAGAATGTGCAAAACTACACCTGCAGCAAGTACCTTGCTGGAAGAGACACTATAGTAATTTGAGGCCCACCTAGCCACCTATCCTTTGAGCTACTGGGAAAGATGAGGAATTTATTGACAGAGCAGAGTGTACTGTCCTGGAACAGCAGTGGAGGAAGATTGCAGATTGCAGGAGACAAACCCCTGGAGGAACATGACACACAGAAGCAGGACTGTCAGGAGCCATGCTGTGTCAGTGGAGCTGCAAAATGGATTCCATGCCCCCACTTCTGACACCAATTCTGGGCCAAAGGAGCAAGGACAGCAGTTGCAGCCCTCAGACCAAAGTGGCTTTGGAAGGTACAATATACAGAACAATCCTTGCCACTCCCAAGAGGAAGTGGTGGTAGGTGACTCCCTACAGAGGAGTCTGCAGCAGTGTGCAGAGGAAACAGGATGTCCCAGGAAGTGTGCTGTCTTCCAGGTGCAAAGATTCACAATGTGACAGAGAAGTTGCCAAGTCTTATAAAGCCAACTGACCACAACCACTTCCTTCTGATTCATGGGGGTACAAACAATAGTGCCACACACAGCATTTGATGTACAGCAAGGGATTATGAGACTCTGGGAAGGAAGCTGACGGGCCTTGGAGCACAGGTGGTTTTCTCATCACTCCTTCCTGTTGAAGGTTGTGGCACAGGAAGAGAGAGGAAAATGCTGGAAGTAATCGCTGGCATCACAGGTGTTGTTAGGAAATGTTTGGCTTCTTGGACCATGGTCTCTGCTTCCTTGAAGAAGGGCTTCTGGCTAGAGATAGGTTGCACCTCAGAGTGGTTGGCAAGAATGTGTTTGTTAAGAGTCTCGCAAACCTGATCAGATCTTTAAACTAAATCCTGAGGGCAGGGGGAGAAAATACAGGGGAGCACATATTATGTGGGATAATAGCTTCATTGATGCACAGGAAACTGAGATGATGCTCCAGAATTCTGCTAAAGGGCAGGAAACTACAAGAAGGAAGCAGATGGAGGGAATGGCTAATGATTTCAGTTGTCTCTGTACTAATGTGCAGAGTATGTGAAACAAGCAAGACGATAGTATAGGAAGGCAAATATGACCTAATAGGCTTTACTGATGGCTAGTGGGATGAGGCTCATGACTGGAATGTAGAAATTAAGGGGTATAAAGGAATAGACAAAACAAGAAGGGAGGAGCAGTAAAGCATGTGTACACATGTGAAGAAATCCATGAGAAGGAAGTACAAGATGGATGGGAGTTTCTTAAAGGTGAACCATTGAAGGCACAAATGTAGACAATTCCAACAAGTAAGAAAAGTTAGAGGTACCTAAAGAAAGCAGTGTGGCTGCGTAAGGAGCTTACAGATGAACTGAGATTTAAGAAGGGCATTTATAAAAAATGGAAGAAAGGGGAAATCATGAAGAAAGAGTATACACAAGTAGAAGGGAAACAGTTGCAGGGGAAAGGTTAGGCGGGTCACAATTTAGAAGGATATTGAAAATGTGGAATGTGTATAGAGGAGGGCTACCAAAATGATTAAGGGTCTGGAAGCCAAGCCTTATCAGGAATGGTTATGGGAGTTTGGTATGTTCAGCCTGGAAAAGAGCAGACTGATAGGAGATATGATAGCAATATTCAAATATCAAAAAGTTGTCACATGAAGATGTTTTCTCATACTTCAGAGGGTAGAACCCAAACCAACAGGTTCAAATTACAAGGAAGAAGATTCCGACACCAGGAATAACTTTTTGAGGGTAAGAACTGTTTGACAGTGAAATGGACTCTCTTGGAAAGTGGACTCTCCTTCCTTGGAGGTTTTTAAGCAGAGGTTGGATGGCCATCTGTCATGGATGTTTTAGTTGAGTTCATGCATTGCAGGAACTAGATGACCCTAAGGGTCCCCTCTAACTACAATTCAATGATTCTATAACTCAAAAGCTGGATCACCCTTTTTTGATATTTTGGTCAATCATAATAAAAGATTTTTTCAAAATTAAAGTTCTAGTTTTGGTTTTGCTTGCTAGCATTACCCACCTCTTCTTCTGCTGAGCTTATTTTGTGGGTTTCTTGCTGCAAAGGGAGGCATGGAGAGGTTTGGCAAAGAGCACCCCAGAGATTATATAATTGTCCCTGGTGTGATGTAAGTGGTGGCTCTTTATCTCTGCCTAGCCCTGCTGCATTACAGGACTGGGTACTGGAGGTTTTCTTTTTCTTTTTTAATGATTCCATTTTCAAAAATCTTGTATGCAGGGACCCTGATGAGCGAAGGAATTCAAAGCATAGTGCAAGAATTTGTGCTACTCTTTGCAGTGTTTGATGAAGGTAAGAATGGTGTGGGGAGGAAGGGGAGAAGAGGGTAGAATATTTGTCTTGCATGTGGAAGATTCCAGGTTGAATCCCTGGCATCTCCAGGTGGGGCTGGGAGAGACCCCCCTCTTTAACCTTGGAGAGCTGCTGCCACTCAGTGTAAAAAATACTGACCTAGAAGGACCCTGAGTGAGTGTAAGGCAGCTTCCCATGTTCCATCTTTTGTATGTTTTTCCACATCCCTGCAGGGAGGAAAAACCTTCTGTAGCTAATAGCAATTTCCTTTCTCTTGCTAAGGATGATGCTAAAACTGGTGGTGACCCTGGACACAGCTTCAGATAAACGTATTTCAATAGCTATGTTATGGACTAGGTTGGGTCTGGGCCACATAAGCTAATAACACAATAAATTGGTGTGTCTTCAGGGTGCCAAAAAGGCTCCTTAAGAGTTTCAAGGACTGGCCAAGTGATTTGCCACTGAGATGTTATCATACTTCAGCATGTGATAGCAATAAGGTAGAATAGTCCTAAGGCAATAGAGTAGACTATCATTTCAGATTATTGGTTGGTGGGTGTTACACTTTTTATTGCAGCAACACTGTAAAATAATTTCAAGTAGAAAATTAGCCCAGCAGGAAGTTGACTACCTTTCTTCCTGATGCATTACTTTGTTTTTTGATTGCAAGAAACTTGGTCCTCAGGAGAACCATAACCAATATAATCCCTTACCTGGTAGACTAGATTGGTATAGTCCAGTCTGCCAGATGAATATTTCACCTATCTAATTCTGCTGCATGTGTTAGATCAGGTCTGATCCAGAGTGATATTGCCTTAGACTAAGGTTGAGGAAAGCTCAGGACATTGTCAGACTCTAACGCCCCTCAGCCCTAGCCAACATGGCCAGCAGTCAGGGTTGATGGGAACTGGAGTCTAGCAACATATTGAAGATCACAGGTTCTGCATTATTTCCATAGCCCTTTTATAATATTGATGAGAAGCTGCACAGGTTGGACTAGGGCATCTCAAAGCAATCCCAAGAGTCAGCCAGACTTCGAAGGGCTAGTTACGAAACAGGAATTAATTCAATTACAGCAGGAGAATGAGTAAAAGAGTATAGGAAAAAATAAACTTTATTTGTTTATAGTCTCAGGATTTACCCCCATTTTTAAGTGAAAATCCTATGCCTGTCCTCAAAAGTAAGCTTCATTAGTCATTGGAACTTACTCCCAGGTCAGTATGTACAAGACTGCTGACTTATTTTGCTGGGCTTTATTCAACTAAGTTTTACTCAGAGTAGACCAACTGAAATTACTGAACCTAACTTTGTCCTGTTCTTTACTTTCAGTGGGTCTACCATTCCCACTGTAAAACTTTGTTGAATACCACCCACAAAACATTTTATGACACTCTTCAATAAACTTCCAGGGTAGAAGTTTACACACACACACACACACACACACACACACACACTAATGAAAAGCAAACAACAGCTAAATAGATAAAAAAGAAGAAAGTAGGCATTTTAAAAATCCATAAAATTCAACAGAACTGATAAAGCAAGACCTACAGCCAGCTTTCCTGGTAAGCAACCCAAGCAAATAAAAACGCTCCACCTGAAAATGACACCAGAGTTGCTGCCAAGTGAGTGAGCCTGTTAGTTTTTATTGGCATGATATTGAGATTATGGGTTAATAGCTTGGGCATAGCCCAAAAAGTATTGAAATACATTAAAAACACTCAGTTAACTAAGTTTCTGTCCCCCCACAGCAGACTCCTCCCCTCAAACAAAAGCCTGCCCCCGCAGTGTCCTCTTTTAGGGGGGAATTTTACCTGTGATCTCCCCAAAAAAGCTAAACAACTTTTTGGTCCCCTCCTAACAAAAATCCTGGCTACACCCATGGTTAGTAGGATCCAGAAAAGGGCAGACAAAACGATTAAAGGGTTGGAGGAACTCTCCTGTGAGAAAATGCCTTTGTGGTTTTAGTATAGCAGGGGAAAGGCAAAAAAGAGGAGGCACAGTAGAGGTATGTAAAATAATGCACAGTGTGGAAAAAGTGGATTGGGATATGTTTGTCTTCATGTGTTATAACATTAGAACTAATGGACATCCAACAAAGGACTTATCCACACTTACCTTTTGCCTCACTCTTTCCTGGCACAGGTCCATGTTTTAAAACTCCATGTCCAAGCACATGGTTTTTTTTCCCATGTTTGTTGTTCTTTTTTCAATAATGACTTGCAAGTTCTTTCACAGCAGCTGCCTCTGCCTATTCTGTATATTTGAAGCAGAAATTCTTGAGGATCTTGAGAAGAGTCATGCAATCTTCCTCTGTCTTTCAAATGTCTCCCATCAGGCAAAAGCTGGTACTCTGAATCCAACACCTTAGGAAATGCTTTGTCTCCTGAGCTGCACACTATCAATGGATTCATGAATCTCTCCCAGCCTGGTAAGTGCCACCTATATCTTTCCCCTCAAGAAAAAAAGAAGTGAATGATTGAATGATTGACAGAAGGTGATGGTGGTGAATGTAAACACCACAAGTGAAGCTGACAGAAGCACAATGGAAAAGCAGAGGGATGTTTTAAATTTCTATATTCTATATAGCTTCTATATTCTCAGGAGCCACTTTGTATGGTGGCCTAGGAGGGGCATTTTTCAGGGTTGGTCCAAGCTGTTTTGTGAGTTGAAGTAGAACACCAAACAGCACCCCACTTTGCTAGATAGATATTCCCTTTTGCCAGCCAAGTCTTACTTTACCATCCTGACACCAATTTCTGCCTTCAGCTAAGGTCATATTCCACACCAGACATTTAAAGCACTGTTATACCACTTCAGCAGGTGCTACAGTTTCTTCATGGTCGTTGAAGTGGTATAATTAATAGTGCTTTAAAGGTCTGGTGTGGAGATGACCTGGCTAAATTCTGTGGCTTGAAGCACTCTGTTTCACCATGCTGTACAGAAGGACTAGCCCTAGTATTTTTGCCACTGTTAGAAGCTGATGGAGTTAGAACAGGCATAGGCAAACTTTCCTCTCCAGATGTTTTGGACTATAACTCCCATCATCCCTGACCACTGGTCCTGTTAGTTAGGGATGAGGGGAGTTGTAGTCCCAAAACATCTGGAGGGCCGAGTTTGCCTATGCCTGAGTTAGAATATATAATTCACAGATCTGTATGTTGCTGTTTCATAGCTATGGGGAGAAACATGCATTGCTATTAAAGGGTTTCTAGGCTGTGGAGTGACTGCATTGACCCAGGTTAGTCATTGGTTTCTCCTCCTTGTCTGGGAGGACTATAAAGGGCAATAACAATAGCAACTGTTCTTTTGACTCCTGGCTCAAGATTCTTGGCTGCAACTCCTGGCTCCAGATTCCTCCCTCTGCTTCTTTGTCCTGACCCCAAGTCCCCGTTTGATAGCATCAAAACCAATTCATTCTTGAGTGATCAGGCTTCATAAACAAAGCTAGTGCTTCCAGCAGTAAGAGATTCACCATAGACTCTAACATGGTATTTAATGTAAGTATGTACAGATGAGATACATCCAAAATGATTTTAAAAAATAAATAAATCCAACATTAAAGCATGGAACATTTTTGTTTCTATAAAGTGGAAGACACTTTTTCTTTACCTTACAAGTGAAGTTTGGCTTGGATGTCAGGGGCAAAATAAAATCTTCAGTGCCAGATTCAGCCTGTGGTAGCACCCATTGGGATGTCTTGAGCATCACTGAACAGTTTCCTCACTTGTATATTTTCTATATCTCTTGTAGATTTCAAGGTGTGCCAGAACAGACTGGTCTACTGGTATGTCATTAGTTTGGGCACCAAACCTGAAGTCCACTCCATTTTCTTTGAGGGCCACACTTTCCTTGTGAGACACCATCGGCATACTACTCTGGACCTCTCCCCAGCTACTTTTCTCACTGCCGAGACAATGCCCACAACCATCGGCATATTTCAGATGTTCTGCCAGATCCCATCACATCAGCAAGGTAAAAGCTATAGGAAAGAGGAGGTGCTAATGAAGGATCAGAAATGGAAAACCAATGGGTGAACCTCTCCTCCCTCCTTTATTGAAAAATGGTATTTGAGTTGATATGAGATGCATAGTAACAGGCTAGGATACAGAGAGGTTCCACTAGCTTCTGCACCCTGCCTTCTCTTGGGGCTCCAGCGTACTGTTAGTTGCTTAATTTAAAACTGTATAGGGCAGAAATGGGAGACCCTGTGGCCCTCCAGATGCTGATAGACTACAGATGCCATCAGCCTCATGAATTTGTGAGTTGCTTAATTTTAAATTGTGTAGGGCAGAGTTGAGGAACCTGTGACCCTCAATATGTTGGTGAGCTACAACCCTCACCAGCTGCAGCCAGAATGGCCAGTATCCAAGGATGATAGGAGTTGCAGCTCACCAACATACTAAGGATCAAAGATTCCGAGAACAACAGCATTATTTGTGCAGGGAATGTTGTCTGTAGAGGAGGAGTCAGACGTCAACAGATTTCCCACCTGAAATGTGAAGGGGTGCAGGCCAGACACAGGTTAACCACCTTAGTGGGCTCTAAGCCCAAGGAAGACAAAGTAGGCACATAGGAAATAACACCTATTTTTGACCCTTACTTCCAGCTGGCATGGAAATCTTAGTTATGGTAGAAGTCTGCCCAAACCTACCCATGAAGAAGATGAGGGTGGCGGAAGGGGACTACGTGGACGAAGAGGACTACTTTGAATACAGTGAGGCCGATATGGAAAGCACGGTGATCCAAATGGATGATTCTCCACCCAGGATTACAGGCCGTTCCCGTGCCAAGAGGCAGCCTGTGACCTGGAAACATTATATAGCAGCAGAAGAGGTTGTTTGGGACTATGCTTCAGATAACTCCACTTATTTATCCAGGTAACAGGGTCAGCTGTGTTTCTGTAAGCATAGGGTCTAAGTTTGTGGCAGGCTGCAGCAGAATCTGGCACAGTAATATTATCGTTACCATTGTTGTTCAGTTTCTATCCCTCCCTCCCTGCCTCCCTCCTTCCTGATGGAGCCCAAGGTGGCAAACACATCAATACTAAAACTACATTTTAAAAAAGCATTCTAAAAATACTTTAAAACATTCTCAAAACAAGTGATCTTTCAGTCTTGAAATACCTGGGTAGACAGGATTGTTTTAGAATTCCACCTGTAGGTCACCAGGGAGGGCATTCCACAATCTGGGAGCCACCACTGGAAAGGTTCTGTTCATAGGTCAGTGCCAGCCAGCCAGCCCCCAGTGATGGTGGTAGTAGTAGTTATTTAATTTAGGAATTGCCTTTTACAAATATGTCTTAAGGCAATTTACAGTCATATCATAAAAGCAGCTGTAGTTTTCTAAGCAGTACAAAGCAAACACCTAAGACAGGAAATGTAGTCACAGAGAAGTTGATGGTTGGATAGTGGGTCAAGCTAGGCAAGACAATTTGTGTTCCTGCTCAACAACTTGCTACTCAGCCTACATTGACAGGTATCCCACAATGATGACCGCTGACAGTGGCACTGCCAATACTCCAGGACCTCTTCCCTGAAGTCTGTGATGAGATGAATACTTATCTGGCTAGGTGCACGTCTCAAGTGCCTGAGATGTGATGGCCAAAGCATGATAGCCCTCTCCAGATCTAACATCAGCTCATCCCAGAATGTTTCTCCCTTCTCTTCTGCAGTGCTTACGCCAAGCAGTTTCTGGAACAAGGTCCTCAGAGGATTGGCTCCAAGTATAAGAAAGTCGTTTTTGTGGAGTACGAGGATGCGAATTTCAAGAGGCGGAAGGCATCGAAACCAGACCACATGGGGATTCTAGGGCCGGTCCTTAAAGGAGAAACTGGTGATGAGTTTATGGTAAGAGATGAGAAAGGTCAGAGCTACCCCTTTGTGATCATCAGTATACCACCCCACGCTCTTTGTCTCTTTTTCTCTCACCCCCCCTTCTTTCTCAGTCATTCACCCACACACACATCCACACTCTTCTCCTGCCCCCATACCATCCTAAGTCCTAACTATGACTTAGGTGACTGTCAGTGAGTTGCAGCAAGTCTTACGCTCACACACTTTCCTTCTGTTTTCCTCCTCCTTTATCTGTGAGGGGAGTGAAAGTTTTTACTTTTCCTTTAGACCAAACCACAGTTTCATGTTACAATTCTGTTGTTCTGTGTAAGAACTATGTAAGAACTTTTAGAAATTTAAAAACGTATAGGGCAGAAATGGGAGACCCTGTGGCCCTATGGCCTAAAGGAAAAGTAAGGTTTGCGTAAGTAACCTTGTTTAAGTAACTTTGGCTAACAAACCACAGTTCCCTGAGTTCACATGTGATGTGGAACTGTGGCTTGTTTTCTAATGCGAAAACAACAGCTTTCACTCTCATCTTACATATGAAGCAAGGAGATGAGTAGGAGTACACAAGCCTGAGGCTTGCTGCAGCTTCTTCACAATCACCTAAACCAAGTTTTAAATGGTCATCTGAATGAACTCATATGGTCTAGACTCTAAAGCATTATTTTAAAACAGTGCTGCTGAAGACAATTCTACCCTGAGGTTTCAAGGCTTAACTATTTATATACCTATTCTGTCTTGGGAAACTGTTTGAGGGTTGTAGCTCAGTATTCATTTTCCTTCTTGAATCTTTTGCTAATTTGTAAATTGTAACTGCCCTATTTGTTTCGTATTTCTACTAATCATGTTCTCAATCTGAGATTCAGGTAGGTAGCAGTGTTGGTTTGACGCAGTCGAAATAAAAAAAAAACTTTTAAAAAATTGTCCAGTAGCACCTTAGAGACCAACTAAGTTTGTTCTGGGTATAAGCTTTCGTGTGCATGCACACTTCTTCAGATACACTGAAAGAGAAGTCACCAGACCCTTATATTTAGTGGGAGGGTGGGGTGCGGTTTTTCTCAGATCAGCGGCACAGCAATGGGCACACGCATGGCCCCACAGTATGCCAACATCTTCATGGCAGATTTGGAACAATGCTTCCTAAACTCCTACCCTTTCAAACCTCTCTTGTACCTGCTATACATTGATGATATTTTTATTATCTGGACACATGGTCAGCAGACCCTGGACACCTTCCACCAGACATTCAGTGACTTTCACCCCACCATCAACCTAACAATGAACCAATCTATGCAAGAAATAAATTTTCTGGACACTACTATAAAAATACAGGATGGGCACATAGACACGAAAGCTTATACCCAGAACAAATGTAGTTGGTCTCAACCTGAGATGTAACCTAGGATTCTCAGGGAAGATTCAAGGCTCGTTGACACAACCATTTCAACAGTCTGTGGTAGTTTTCACAGAAATTGGCAGAGGCTGAATTGATTTGTGTCAAACAGTGTACAGGCTCTGATAAAATATATTGTTACACCTGACATTTGGGCTCCAGCAGGGCTACAAATCCTGGTTAAAATGTGAAAACTGTCATTTCAGATTATGTTCAAGAATCTAGCCAGCCGGCCGTACAACATTTACCCCCATGGCATCACCAATGTCACTTCCTTTTACCCCATGAGAAGCAGCAAAAGTAAGACTCGTTCAGCAGATGGGAGTAGATTTCTTAGAGTGGGCTGGGTATGGTCATGCATACTGTCTTTTTTTTCTTTTTAATCAAACTATTGTGGAAAGTACTGTGCCATACAGCACCAGGAAAAACCGAAATTATTTGTTCTCTATGAGCATACACACATTAAAATAACCATGCATATATTTGCATATTTGTCAATTATTTGTCCTTCTTCAGCTAATCATGGGGGTGGGGAGCAATCTTGAACAATTCATGCAAGTTGCTTTTCAATTGAGAGATCACCAGGTGTTTCCTCATCAGCTTTCAAGCCCTACTTTGTATTCCACTTAAGGACTAGACATGTCTTTGAAAAACAAGATTGGCAGGGTGCTCACTTTGGTACAAAATCCTAACTTTGGTACGTGTGTAGCATCATAGAATATGCACCACCTTCTTTTAGAAATCTGCCTGCCTTCAGTGCTGCTGCTTACCATTGTCTGCTGTTAGTCATGCTCCAGTCTTAGCAGGACTTTTCCACTGTATTTTACCTTCCAATGCCCCACTTTTTGTTTCCTTTTCCTTTTGCTAGGCTGCCATGTGGCTTTCTAAAGGCTACTGCTTGCCCTCTTCTGCAAGAGACTGAGGTGTACCAATCTGGTTTGCGTGTCACGGTAAGCCAAACTGTAGCTTACCAGGACCATGCAAATGTGCTGGCGCTCCAGTCCTTTTACGTCAGTGGACATGGCAGCTTAGAGTGTCATCTGAACTTGAGATTGTGGCTAAGCTGTCTCCTTCTTAAACACGAGCTATAGCCAAGAACAAGTCTTAACTACAGTGGTACCTCGGGTTACAGACGCTTCAGGTTACAGACTCTGCTAACCCAGAAATAGTACCTCGGGTTAAGAACTTTGCTTCAGGATGAGAAGAGAAATCGTGCTGCAGCGGCATGGCGGTAGTGGGAAGCCCCATTAGCTAAAGTGGTACCTCAGGTTAAGAATAGTTTCAGGTTAAGAACAGACCTCCGGAATGAATTAAATTCTTGACCCGAAGGTACCACTGTATAGCTCCTGTTTAAAGAAGAGTAGGGATTTTATCAGGGGATTTTATCAACAGCAAAAATGGGAGTGGAAATTGCTAGTCCTTGCTTATTTGTCCCATGTCTAGAATGGATCAGTATTCACTTTTCAGTCCGCAAATAATACATCATTGATTATGTTCTCATTTGCCTTGTACAGGCAATCCTCCTTTTGCATGGGGGTTCCGTTCTGGTCCCCCACGCCTGTCAGCGGAGTGTGTTTTGGGGCTACTTCCAGGTTTGGCATGTATGTGTGATCGCCCATCATTCAGACACGCCTAAACCGGGAATTGCCTCTATTTCCTTTGCATTGAAATGAATGGGGTAGAACGCGTAATGATAACATAATTTTTGTGACTTATGCAATTAATTATGTGAATTTTGTATGTAATTTTGCCACAACAGACAGCAAAACAAATAATGTGTTTTTGGTGGAAGATGAACTTCAGTGGAATAGAAACAGTGCTGTATGCATATATGAGAGGAAATTGCTTTTGCAAAGCATTAGGTAAAATTGCAGGCAAAAATGTGTAGGCCAGGAGAAAGCAGTACTAAAAAGCTGATGGATTTGTGTGAGGACATTAGGAAAACAATCCTGCAAACTGACATGGAACTATGGAGAAGACTGAACAATGAGAAACTGGGAGGAATTGAAATTGACAGGTGTAATGGTAGTAAGCCCCATTGAATCACTTCTCAGCTGACCACAGTTAGGATTGCCCTGTACATCTTTAGCCAGTTTTTTGATTTTTAAAAGCTGGTGGCAAATGCAGTAACACAATGGTCTTACGGTTTGTTTTCCTCCCAGATCACGTTATGAAGCTCTTGCCCATTCGACCTAACCAGGTGTTCACCTACAGGTGGAAGATAATGCCTGAGGATGGCCCAACCAACTCAGATCCCCGCTGCCTGACTCACTACTATTACAGCTCTATCAAGCCTGCTCGGGATTTAGCCTCTGGGCTAATTGGACCACTGCTGATCTGCTTCAAAGAGACCATGGATCGGAGAGGGAATCAGGTTGGTCCTTGTATCTTAGGAGAAAGCTTCACAAAATAGCATGAGGTCAACTTCATGTTATGTGTAAGTGTGTGTATTAGAGCCCAAATGTGTTAGCTATGAGTAAAGAAGTTGGGTGTGTGTGTTTGGTTGTGTGTGTAACTGTTTTCATGCTCTCTTCTTTCCCCCTAAAATTCCCCCCTCCCTTCACCTATCCTCCCAAGGGAGTTTTAGCCATGTGCTTGAGAGAGTAAGAGCATGTGAAACCCAATAAGGGGGAGCTACAGTGATCTGGTTTGGATTCAGTGCAAACTGTGCTTAGTGTGAATGTGCAAACTTGCAGGTTCGCAGAGCAAAGACTGAGGCTGCAGCAGCACACCTCTTCCAGTCCTGTTATTGCTATTTGGGGCTAATATATTTCTTGGCATGGCTTAGCATATTGCCTGAACCTGGAATTCATGGTTTGCGAGACAAACCATAAGCTGAAACTAAAGTTTGTTCTAGGTTTACTGGTCATGGTTTTCCTGGGGGAGGCAAACCACAAGCCTAGGTCCATATGTAATGCTAAACCAAAGCCTGACTTTGGTTAGCATAGCAGCAGCAGGACTGGGGAGAATCACTCTGTGGCTGCGATATCCCATCTGGGAAGCTTCACAGTGTTCATGCAAAGCCACAATTTGACTTAGCATTACAGCTGACGATGCCAGTGGGGGAAGGAGGTGGTCCTCTTCTACTCAGATACTTTCAACCAGACACTGCCAAGCCCAAACTGGCTTTGCTTCTGGGATGTTGCTGCTGCCTTATGTGTCTATTAGACCATGCAAAGGTACTTTACAGGCAGCCATGGGGGACCAGCCCTTTGAATTGTAACCAAAAAAAGCAAGAGGTCAATGAAGACTTTACAAAATAGCAGAATAATGAGTTCTGTAAGATGAACCCTGGCTAACAACCTGGCGCTTATGTCATGGAGTAGCTGCATAATTTTCAAATTAATAATGTAATAATCTAACATGGAATGTTACCAGGGCATGGATAACTGTGGCAAGGCTCTGCATAGTTGTCCACTTGTGAGTGGGTGTTTGAACTGGATGTACGTTTCCAAGCAGAATTCAAAGTGCTGGTGTTGACCTTTAAAGCCCTAAGCGTCTCCACCCCCATCTTTCTGCCCGGACGCTGAGGTCCAGTGGCGAGGGCCTTCTGGCGGTTCCCTCATTGTGAGAAGCAAAGCTACAGGGAACCAGGCAGAGGGCCTTCTCGGTAGTGGTGCCCGCCCTGTGGAACGCCCTCCCATCAGATGTCAAAGCGATAAACAACTACCTGACATTCAGAAGACATCTTAAGGCAGCCCTGTTCAGGGAAGTTTTTAAGGTGTGATATTTTAGTGTATTTTTGGTTTCTATGGAAGCTGCCCAGAGTGGCTGGGGAAACCCAGCCAGATGGGCGGGGTACAAATTAATAATAATAATAATCATCATCATCATCTCCAGATCTCTTCCCAATTTTTTTAATGGCAACCCAGGCCATGCTTAGCAGTATCAGCTTACTGTTAGATATACTAGAGGTGACAAGTTGACATGGGAACCAAACAGTTGGCTGATTGCTGTAATTACTGATACTCCAGCTTAACTCTTAGGTGTTTGCAGAGAAATGATTTAAAGGTCTGCATGGGGAGCAGTTCAGAGTTGGGCACCCAAAGGCAGACATTCTAGCAAGAAACCTAGAACCGGATAACAAAGAAGCAAGGTGGAAACAATATTCCCCTCCTGCCATCTCATCTCCATATCCAAAAAACCTTGAGCAGTGATGCTTGTTGTCTCTCCTCAACCCTTTCATTTGTGGTTCTTCCAGATGATGTCAGATGAAGCAAGATTTGTGCTGTTTTCTGTCTTCGATGAAAACCTCAGCTGGTACTTGAAGGAGAATATCAACCAATCCTGTTCTGATGCAGCCAATGTAAACCCCCAGGATCCTGAGTTCTATGCTTCCAACGTTATGCACAGTGAGTAGCCCCAGAAGAAAAGCTGTGTGTGGTGGGGGAGGAAAGGGGGGGGGAAGGGTGCATCCCTATCCCAGAAAAGCTACACACACACACAGCCTCATACAAGCTTAAGCGTGCTGTGAGAGATCTATTTACATCACCTAAATTTCATTCAGTACATGCTCTTTCAGAAGTCCTTTTATTGTGCATTCATAATCATTTGTGCCCATGATACTATTTGCGGCATCCATACACAATCCCGCTTTCAGTACCTGTCTGGGCCTTTAGAAGTTTTGGGATGCTCATGCTACTTCAGTTATAATCAGTGCATTTCCTGCAACTTTCTAGGTTACTTTTTATTCAGCAAATGTTCTGCGTTGTTCTTTTTGTCCGCTTTTGTGGCACATAGGCCCCTCCAAACAGCAGTAATTCATCGGGGAAGTTTTGCAGATCTAATAAATCAGGGGGAAAAACACAACTAATGCACTATTGTTGTGTTGCAGGGAGGTACTGAGCACTCTTACTCCACCCATGTGCTTTCCAAAAACTAGCAGGTACTTTTAAAATAGTCTTTAGGGATTCCAGGACTATTATTTTAATCCTCATCTGTTTGTTTTTGAAACTCTTTTTTTGGCCTCAGTCCACCCTGTAACCTGGATGTCCATGGCATTTTCCCCATCTCACTTCTCTTACAGGTATAAATGGCTATGTTTTTGATAATCTGCACTTCAAGATTTGCCAAAACAAAGTTGTGTATTGGTACATCCTCAGTGTAGGTTCCCAGACTGAGTTTCTGTCCGTCTTCTTCTCCGGGAATACTTTTCAGCACAACACAGTCTTTGAAGAGACCCTCACGCTCTTTCCCCTCTCTGGAGAGACTGTCTTCATGTCCATGGAGAAACCAGGTGAGTTAGATGTGCTACTTAAGGTAAAGGTAAAGGGACGTCTGACAGTTAAGTCCAGTCGCGAATGACTCTGGGGTTGCGGTGCTCATCTTGCTTTACTGGCCGAGGGAACCGTTTGTCCGCAGACAGTTTTTCTTGGTCATGTGGTCAGCATGACTAAGCTGCTTCTGGCAAAACCAAAGCAGCGCACGGAAACACTGTTTATCTTCCCACCGGAGTGGTACCTATTTATCTACTTGCACGGCATGCTTTTGAACTGCTAGGTTGGCAGGAGCTGGGACCGAGCAACGGAAGCTCACCCTGTCGTGGGGATTCAAACTGCCGACCTTCCTATCGGCAAGCCCTAGGCTCAGTGGTTTAGACCACAGCGCCACCCGCGTCCCATGCTACTTAACACAATATGCCAAATCTGATACCTTCCTAAGCATCAGAAGTCATTTGACATGAAAAAGTGACTCAGCTTCTCTAACCTTTAACATTATTTAATGTCTGTCCTACTTTGTTTTCCTTGAAAGAAGAGTTAAAGTGAGGATGACTAAGGAGGATGGACTCATTTAAAGAGGCTTAGGAGTTCCTTCTCTTGATCTATTGCAGGCGTAGCTAATGTTGTGCCCTCCAGACATTGTTAGACTGCATCTTACATCATCCCCTGACCAGTGCATTTTAAAGGGGTACTCAGAGGTACGCACTATTCCTGACCAATGGCCATACTGGCTGACAGAGGCAGCCTGTCCTATTTCACCACCAGTTCTGCTGCCGGAACATCCTGGCTCTTGCCAAACGTGACAAGAGCTGGGGTATTCCACAAAGCATTGTCGCTCAGCTTCTCTGCTGAGTGGCCAAGCAACAATATAGCATGCAGGAATGCCCAGGCTCTAGCCAAATTTGGCAGGAGCCAGAGCACTCCTCAAAGCATTGCTGCTCAGCTTCTCCACCCCAGGGAGCAGGGGAGCCAAGCAGTAATGTGGCATGCAGGAACACCCCAGTTCTCACCGAACTTGGCAGCAGCTGGGGCATTCCATAAATCATTGCCACTCAAGCTTCTCCACTTGGGGGCGCTGAAACACCTCCCTCTGGCCACTGCTGCTGGAAGTGATAAGGTGGGCAGAGCACTGCCTATTACACTTTTGCCACCTGAGGTGGGCGCTTCACCCTGCCTCATGGGTGGGCCGGCTCTGTGTGGCTGGAGCTGATCGAAGTCAGACTCCATCTGCAGGGCACTGGATATGTTACCTGTTATTCATTGTCTCATGCATACAGTAGGATAGTGGGGTCTGCTCTGTCCCTTCCCAGGCTGCCTCTGTTCTCAGTAAAAGAGGTCTACACATTGTCTGTTGGGACCTAGTAACCCAGCAGTCAGCCTCTTTGAATTCAACAACACATTTTGAATTTTGAGAGAGAGTGTTATTGGTCCTACCCCTTCTGGTTGTGGTACCCCTAACTGAGCAGAAAGAGAGAAAGCCCCTGTGCTTTATTGCCAATATTGATCTCATTTTTTCCTTCAATCCTTTTACCTGAGACAGGCACATGGATATTGGGATGCCTGAACCCAGACTTCAGGAGGCAAGGAATGAGAGCCACGTTCACTGTTTCCAAATGCCCCAATGAAATGGAGTATGATTACTCTTATGAATTAATACCAGAAGGTGAACTAAATGAAGCCAATGTCTTGCAACCAAGAGGCTTCCCCAGGAAAAACAGGCCTGTCCAGCCTTGCCTAAAGAAGCATGGAGATGCAGAAAATGAAATGCAGAAGACCAACCACCATTTGGCTCCTTGTCGTGAAGCCAATAATCTTTTTAAATTAAACAAGAAAAAGAATCCTACTGACTTGCCGTCGCCTCCTGGAGAGTCCTTATATCAAGATAACATTTCTTTACCTTCTTTCCAAGACGACCTCGTTAAGCCAACTGATGCCTTTCCAGCAGAAGAAGAACCATCATCTATACTCAAGCAAAGTTTCCAACAGCATTCTTTCACAGGAAACTCTTCTCTCTCATGGAAAGAGTCTAATCTTAATAAGAGTGTGTTAGAAACTGCAACCAGTCTGGGTGACGAGACTCTTCCCTTTGGGACATTCAGCCCACTTGAAGGAGCTGGGATGGTCCAAGAGAAATCAGATAAACAGGAGGCAGTGGAGATCATGAAACCTCATTCAGCCCCTCCATTGGAAAAGGTGGAGGCAATTCCTGAAGACCATGTTACCAGCATTCAGTCAAAGGGGTTGCAGGATGGGATGGGCCTTGCAGAAAGACTGACATTGAATGTGAAAAGGCTCCCTCTTAAAACTGACGATAATTTAACACAACAAAATGAAGTATATCCAGATTCCAGATTTTCTGAAAGAGCTTCTCTTGAAGATGTAAACACAGTTGAAGGACAGAACACTGTATCATTGATGCCAGATACAACGTTGAATGAGAAAGCAGGACTGCAAATATCCTATATGGATAAGGGCACTTTCTTTAACATGAGTAGTACATCTGCATCATTAGATGACTTGAAAAGTAAGCCACTTACTCAGCACATGTCACTGGACAGTCAAAACACTGGTCCACCAAGATTAGAAATTAACCCTGGAGCTGAAAACATGGTGTCACAGAGCTATGGCAACACCTTTCAAGCTTCTACAAGCTACTCATCTCATAAGGCAACTGTCCAAGAGAATGAACCATTTACATCAAGAGAATCATTGCATACTAGAAATAAAGTTGAGCAATCCACTGCAACTATAGGAAGTCAAGGCCCTTTTACATCTGTAAGTGAAGACTTCCTTCATGGCAAAAATAGTGCACATACAGCCTCTCATGACAAAGTGCATGAGCCAACGCCTCCAGCAAAGCATTTTCAGGGTCATGAGACAGAGATGGTTGACACAGCTACTAGAGGCCCAGATAATTTGAATGAACATGCTTCTTTATTTGCACAGAATGGTGAGCAAGTGGCTCCAAACAGATTGACTAGCAACCCAAATATTCTAGAGAAGTCTGACTATACTAATGACATTCTGGAGAGTAATGATAGATTCTCTACGCATCCATTTCACACTAGTCAAAGACCAGACGGCTCAGCACTCCAAGAAGGTTTCCAAGAAAATAGCCAAATTAAGGATTTTGGGGGGAAAGAGAATAAAGCTTTGCTCATTGTTGATGCCACCGCCAACAGAATCTGGAACCCAAATTCCCATGGATTTCTGGGTAGTTTGTTGCTTCCTAAAACAAGTTTATCAGAAAAAGAGGATGCTTTTCATCAAGCGGAGTCACCTCCATCACAGCTAGTTGACCTGGGAAATGACACAAATTCTAAAGAGTTTGTAAGAAAGGGGGAGATAAAGCTACAACCAGAACCAGAAATTCAGAGCCATGAAAAGTCATCAGATGGGATGAGGTTGCAGCCCTGTCATCTGGGTCCTCATGGATGTGGTGGTCACTTGGAAAAGAGGTCTCTGAAATCACACCAGGCCACGTTGGAAGAAAGACATGCTGTACCAGCAAGGGAAATGAAGAGTTCTGGAAAAGCTGAAGAAAGAGCTCAGGCTTTGCTCAACGGTAACTTCTTCAAGTTAAACAATAAGGCCAAGGCTTCTATAATAAAGGCACCTTTGGCAGATGGGGCTACAAGAAACCAACAAGCAACCACACTTGGCAAGACAACTGCTTCATCTTCTCTGTTCACCTCAGTCCAGTCCAGTCCAGCCCCACACTCCCTGAACTTTCCTGATTCCCAGCAGACTTGGAGAGGAGCCAGTTTGTCTCACAAAGTAGAGGATGTAGGGGGTGCAGCTGACACCATTTCTGGAACTCTTGGGCACAGTATTATGGAAGCCAAACCTGGATTGGCCCCCACTTTCTTTGCAGGAGGACAACTCAAAGGTGCTGGCTCTGTTCTTCATAAGACCACCAGTCAGACAAATGAGGCTGGACTTCCTGCAACTCCAGAGGTTCCTGTTATGACTCACAGTGATCCAGAAATAAAAAGGGAGAAGACTGAAAATTCTGAAAGATGGGCCTCAGCAGAAAACAATTTGGACTCTCAAGGTCACCTAGCTGTCAATCTTCCCTTTCAAGAGCAGCTGTGGGAGGAAGCAGATAGACAAAAGGAAATCCATAGCGAAGGAGGGGACGTTCGTTCCATAAGTGGCAATATTCAAAAATTTGAAAGGAGGAAAAGAGTAGAAGAAATTGGAGCCCCAGTGCATGGATTTAGCAAAGGTGAGAGTAGGATCTCAGGAGCCAAGGTCCATATGGAGGTCTCCATGGCACCGACCGACCTCAAAGGATCTATGGTGACAAACTCATCAAATACTCTGAATCGAGCATCTGACTATGATGATTACAGCAATTCTGAGGACAAGCAAGAATTTGATATATATGGGGAAGATGACCAGGATCCACGTACTTTCACTGGCAGAGTCCGACAGTACTTCATTGCTGCAGTGGAGGTGATGTGGGATTATGGGAACCATACATCTTCACCATATCTAAGAGACAAGTAAGTTCTGCCCAGCATTTGGGGACTGTGGGGCTAGAAATTCATAAACCGCAATGCTCTCTAGAGCAGTGTTTCACAACCTTGGGCCTCCAGCTGTTTTTGGACTACAACTCCCATCATCCCTAGCTAGCAAGACCAGTGGTCAGGGATGATGGGAATTGTAGTTCAAAAACAGCTGGAGGCCCAAGGTTGGGAAACACTGCTCTAGAGCAGCCATTTCCCATGTTAGGTCCCAGGATTGTGCTGACCTTAGAATAAGTTCCCATCATCCCCAGCCAGCATGTTCCAGTGGTTGGAGATGGTGGGAGATGTAGTCCAATGACATCTGGAGTCCCAAGGCTGAGGAAGGCTGATCTAGACCAGTGAGCTTATTTGAGATGCTCCTGAGATTTTACCTCCAAACATTTACCTCCAAAGATCAGAGGTGATGTGAGGAGGAAGAGGGAAAGGTTTTTGGCTGATGCTGTATTACTTTCTGAAATGGTGATGTAGTTTCCTCATAACCATGCTTGTACTGCTTTAAGAGCATTTAATTTTAAAATAATTGAATATTGCATTTGTATCCCACCCTTCCGCCAAGCAGCACAGGGCAGCATACATAGTGCCTCCCCAGCTTGTTAATTCTCACAACCGCTTTGTAAGGTCAGTTAAGCTAAGAGATGGTGATGACCCAAGACTGCATCCTGAGCCTTACAGCGGATTAAGGACCTGAACTGGGACCTACTGAATGTGTATATATTGTCTCAGTGTTCTTTAGAGCTGCACAGTGCATGGGCACATATGTGAAATGGTGACCTATCAGTGCCTAAAAAAAAACGCAAGAGGAGCTGATTGGTAGTGACTAGATAAAGGTCTACTTAAGAAATATTAGGAGACAGGGTGGATAAATGTTTCAGAACACCCTTTCTCTGCCCTAGATGATGTTGGATTGCAAGGCAGTTACATATAGAAATGCTAGTCTGCAGCGTCTTCCAAAAAAAAAGTCTGTACTTGACCACACCAGCCTCTTATGTTTTCACAGGAATCTGAAAAACAGCTGGAAGAAGCCATCCAGGCAGTACAAGAAAGTAGTTTACCGAGAGTACCTGGACAGCTCTTTCACTCAGCCACAGGTCCGTGGAGAATTGGAAGAACACTTGGGCATCTTGGGACCATACATCCGAGCACAGGTTGATGATGTCATCATGGTGAGACACTCGATATTAAATACGGAAAATGCTGGAGGGTGTCATCTCTCATACTTAAAGTGGGATTGGTAAAGGTAAAGGTACCCCTGCCCGTATGGGCCAGTCTTGCCAGACTCTAGGGTTGTGCGCTCATCTCACTCTATAGGCTGGGAGCCAGCGCTGTCCGCAGACACTTCCGGGTCACGTGGCCAGCGTGACAAGCTGCATCTGGCGAGCCAGCACAGCACACGGAACGCCATTTACCTTCCCGCTGGTAACGGTCCCTATTTATCTACTTGCACCCGGAGGTGCTTTCGAACTGCTAGGTTGGCAGGAGCTGGGACCGAACGACGGGAGCGCACCCCGCCGCGGGGATTTGAACCATTGACCATGCGATCGGCAAGTCCTAGGCGCTGAGGTTTTACCCACAGCGCCACCCGCGTCCCAAAGTGGGATTATAAAAACAAAAATAGTCTATCCTCCCTCTACATATTCCATTTGTTTAGGTCTGCATTTTACCTTACATATCATGTCCAGCTCATATCATTGTAAGAGAAGCCTGATGTCAGCACCTGGAATTCTTAGGCAACTGCAAGGACCCCAGCCACCTAGTAAGGGCCCAGTGCTTGCCACTTAAATTCCCTACAATGCCCTTGACAGAGCTTTGCTCTGGAGCTCTGTGAAGAATTGAAATGGCAACTAGACCCAGCCACTTGGCACTGATCAGCATCCCACAGACATACTGTCCAACATTTTCATTTCAAAAACAGGGATGCATGTCTTCCAGGATGTGCTCCCTGTCGATTCACGTGACCCATGCCATAATCTTGCCCTAGGAAAAGTGCTTTTTCCAGGGCGAGAGCGCGGCACCCAAAATGGTCACCACAATCTCACTCGAAAAACCAGGATGTCCCGTTTTTTTTCTGAGACACTTGGCAGTCTTGCACTGATAGAGACAAGGACACAGCCCAGGGCTCCTTCAGACCTTGAGCCAGTTTGATTGTCCATAACAGGTTAGTAGCCACACACTTTGTGTTAAGGAGTCAGGGTCAGCTCTACCATTAGGCAAAATGAGGCAGCAGACAAAACTTTGGATGGCAGAACTGTATGTGCCACATGAACTGCCCCGTGCCACTAAGCTAGCCTGCTGTCAGATGCCCAACAGGACACTTTTTCATCTCCAGTGTCAGCTGCCAGTTCAATTGGCTTTTGTATGTGGAATGGGAGATGGGAGAAAACACATCACCTTGTCTTTCATCTCAAGCAGCAAAATGTCTTGGGCTGGTCATGTATAGGAAGAAGGTCTATGGATGCGGTGGGGGGCAGGGAGTCATTACAGTTACCTGTGTAAGATTACTTCTTTTTTTAAAAAAAAGTTATTTAATTACAATTATTCTTGGTGAGTGATTGGGCAGATTTCTGCATTAATATATCCATATGTAAAAGGGCAAGGTACTTAAAAAAAAAAAGCTGATCATTTAGGGAGGGGGCCAGTAATATGCCCAACGGGGCCTGCCCCCAGGGTTACCTTGGTAGTTTTGGCTCAGATCAGCCTTCCTCAACCTGGTGGCCTCCAGGCATTTTCGGCTACAACTCCCACCAATCCAAGCCAGCACTGGGCCTATAGTCTTCCAGCTTAGAAGGTGATTACCCCAATAGAGTAAAGAACAGCTTGAGTTGTCTTTGTTCTTTATCCCCCTTCCCAAAAGTTAACTCTCCTCTTTACACCTGTTCTTCCCTCCCTTCACCCAGGTGACTTTCAAGAATCTGGCTTCCCGCCCGTATTCATTCCATTCTAACCTGCTGCCCTATGAAGGAAATGGGGAGGAAGTAGAGCAGCCCATCCAGGACTCTGTGCAGCCTGGCGAGGTCCGAGATTACTCCATCAAGGTGTTGTCTCACATGGCTCCTACAGCCAATGAGTTTGACTGCAAGGCATGGGCATATTTCTCCAGTATTAGCCTGGTAAGTGGGTAATGCATGCTCTCCTGCTGTTTGTATCAGGGCATTTCGTGGGCCATGACAAGAGGGCTGGCCAGACCTAACAGCGGGCACCTTGCAAAGATTGAAAAGCAAAGTCTCTTCTTGCAAGCTGATGAAACTTAATGTGCAAAACAAGCAAATTATATCTGCATACTGATGATTTGATTTGATTGTCATTTAACACAAGGCTGTCTCCAGGCAACTTAGATCAAGTTTGAAAGCATACAGAATTGTTAAAAACAGCTACCATCATAAAAAAATACTCCAACAAAATATACCGTATTTTTCGCCCTATAGGGCACACCGGCCCATAGGAGGCACCTCGTTTTTTTGGAGGGGAATGAATAAAAAAAATTTAGTCCCCCCCCCAGCCCCCAGAACAGGCTGCTATCTGCAAGCCTTGCGAGCCCGGCGGCAACTCCCCCCGGGCGGGCAAGGCTTGCAGACACCTGCGCGAAGCACGGGGCGTCCTCCGGAGGGCGCCCCGTGCTCCGGGCTGCAGGCTGCCGCCCGCAAGCCTTGTGCGCCCGGGGGGAGTTCCCCCGGGTGCTCAAGGCTTGCCGACACCTGCGCGAAGCATGGGGCGTTCTCCGGAGGGCGCCCCGTGCTTCGGGCTGCAGGCTGCTGCCCGCAAGCCTTGCGAGCCTGCAGGAACTCCTGCCGGGCTTGCAAGGCTTGTGGATAGCTTCCTGAAGCCTGGAGAGCGAGAGGGGTCGGTACGCACTGACGCCTCTCGCTCTCCAGGCTTCAGCGAAAGCCTGCATTTGCCCCATAGGACGCACACACATTTCCCCTTCATTTTTGGAGGGGGGAAAGTGCGTCCTATAGGGCGAAAAATTCGGTAAGCAACCAAATTAATACATTAAAACACCAGCTTCTATGGGATGGGGTGAACTTATCAAGAACAGCAATAAACTCAGCTGGATCAAATTCCATCCAATGCTTAGTTGAAGGGGAAAGTCTTAATGCAACACCAAAGGATGTCAATGGCTGCAACAGGCCTCACTTGGAAGAGCATTCCACAGGCAGGGGGCCACACTTGAAAAGGCTCTTTTTTTCTTGTTCCCTGAGTTCTCTCAGAGGGAAGGTCTGCATGTGCTCTTGTCAAGAGAGGAGATCAGTCATGACTAAGGATGGAAAAAATAGATTCGGTTTGCATTTGAAGATGGATTTAAATGCAAAAATTATTTAATTTTTTAGGCAAAAATTACAAACAAAATGTGTATTTTAGGGGAGATTTGCATTAAAATACTGGTAAATATTCATGATGACATTTTATATAATATTCATCAGTATTTTAGTGCATATATTTTAATACACACAGAGAGAGAGAGAGAGATGTGGAAATGTAGAGAACTAAACTCAAGGCTGGGAAAATCAAAACCAGCAGATTTCCCCATTCCTAGTCAGGTCACAGAATGTTGCTTTTCAAGACTTCAGGCAGAAGCCCTTCCCAGGCTTACCTGACTAGAACATGGAATGCCATGTGTGCAAAGCACGTAGTCTCCCACTGAGCAACACCTTGGGGTTCCCTTTCCATAACTGCAACTCCTCATCTGTTTAGTTAAGACATTTGAGGAAGTTTGCCGCAGATGGCTCTAGGACATAATTGTCCTTGTTACTTCCATCAGCATCCCCTTTGCTTTCCATGCTCCCATTCTAAGTGGCATGGGCGCAAAGGGAGGACTTTGAAAATTACATCTGATGTGAAAGTGGCCTTGTCCTGCTTAATATATAATAAGGATTGCAGCCCATCTGAGGAAATCATTAAATGGAACGTGCTGTTGTGGCAGAGAAAGGGAAGGGAGCAAAGAAAGGGAAGGAAGAGAAGGGATGAGAGCTTCATACGCATCAGCTTTGCATAGCTATAACTGGGTCTGACTTCTGAGATTTCAGTTTTTATACTAGACTTGTAAGTAGGCCCACAGAAAAGTAGCTAGCTTGCAATTCTTTCTTTTTTTTACACCCCCTGTATACTGGTCACAAAGGAGGGGAAGCTTTATTCTCCAGGAACCTGTCTAATCCCCATTAAAAGGTGAGGCTTCTTAGCCTCATAATCCAGGTTGACATGGCATGAACATGACTCTAAGCTGGGGGTAGCCAACATGATGCCATCCAGTTATTGCTGGACTCCAACACCCTATCAGCCCTAGCCAGCATGGCCAATGGTCAGGGATGATGGGAATTGTAGTCCAGCAATGTCTTGGAGAGCACCGTATTGGTGGTTTCTGTATTTGCAGTGCTGCTGGGGTACAGGAACTGATACGCCTCACTTCCACCTGCCCTCAATTTTTAATTCTAGGAGAAAGACCTACACTCTGGTCTTGTTGGACCTCTGATTATCTGCCGGCCTGGAGTACTGAGCACAGCATACAGAAGGCAGCTGGCTGTCCAGGAATTCTCCTTGCTCTTCACCATCTTTGATGAGACCAAGAGCTGGTATTTTGCTGAGAACCTTGAGAGGAACTGTCTGCATCCCTGCCACATCCAGACAGATGATCCTGCCTTTAAAGCAAGCAATTCTTTCTATGGTAATAACCTCCTTACCACCTCTTCGTTTCTTTCCATGCTCCCAGTATAATTGGCACTGGGGCAAGGAGAGATGTGATGGAAATCCCTGCCTTCTCCCAAGTAAATCTACTCAAATTGTTGATGGAAGCTCCGCTCTGTGTCCCTCTGCTGTGTGATCTGCAGAAGGTGGCTGTATAAGATGGAGCCTTTTCAGAGGGGAACACCCAATGGCTCTTCCTGACTTTCGCTATTTTCAATCACATTCCAGTAAATTCAGATTCATAGAATTGTGTTGGCATCCGTCTGTCTAGGAAGTCAATGGAAGAGTGCGCCTTTGGGGGTAAAGTCAATCCATTGGAGAGTTACTGTAGAGACTGTTATGGGACAGACATGTTTTCTTGCAGCTGGGGCAGACAAATAATAGAATTGTAGAGTGGAGGGACCCCCTAGGGTCATCTAGTCCAAACCGCTGCAATGCAGGAATCTCAACACACTGCCCCCCTCATCCAGTTTGAAACCATACCAGACACTGCTTAGCTTGGCAAATGTCCTAGCATTCCACCTGTTTTCCTTCAACTGCTGTTGCCCTGCACTTTCTCCTCCCTGAATCCAGAGATTCCCTATGCAATCAATGCAACTCTCCTACAGTGGTGCCCCGCAAGACGAACGCCTCGCAAGACGGAAAACCCGCTAGACGAAAGGGTTTTCCATTTTGGAGGCGCTTCGCAAAACGAATTTCCCTATGGGCTTCCTTCGCAAGACGAAAGCCCATAGGGAAATCTCCGGGACAGCGGGGAAGCGCAGCACGTCTTCCCCACTGACCTCGGACCTCCTCCGAAGGCTGGCGGCGGGGCGGGGACACCTCCTCCCGCCGCCAGCCTTCATTTCTCCGCTATCCCGGACGGCTTTTGAAGGCAGGCGGGGGGGGGAGCAAAGACTTTTGCCCCCCGCCGGCCTTCAGAAGAGGTCCAGGACCTCTTCTGAAGGCCGGCGGGGGGCAAAAGTCTTTGCTCCCCCCTGCCTGCCTTCCCGGGGGCTTTTAAATCGCCCCGGGACAGCGGAGAAGTCCTCCGCTGTCCCGGGGTTTTTTAAAATGCTGGGGGCGGCGCCCGGAGGCTTCGCTGCCGCCCACCAGCTTTTTAAGATCGCCCGGGACAGCGGAGAAGTCTGGTGGGAATGGGAGGGTGGGAAAAAAGCCCTTGTCCCCCCCCCCCAGCCTTCAGAAGAGGTCGGGGAACAGACTGTCCCCGACCTGGTCCTGAAGTTCGGTTTCCATAGGAAAACGATTGCTTGATTTTCAATGCATTCCTATGGGAATGCATTGCTGGCCGGGCGGAGCGGAGGCTTCGCTGCCGCCCAACAAGCATTTTAAGATCGCCCCGGGACAGCGGAAGAAGTCTGGTGGGAAGTGGGAAGGGTGGGAAGAAAAGCCCTTGCCCCCCCCCCCAGCCTTCAGAAGAGGTCGGGGAACAGACCTGTTCCCCGGACCTGGTCTGAAGTCGGTTTCCATAGGAACGCCTTGATTGATTTTTCAATGCATTCCTATGAAACCGTGCTTCGCAAGACGAAAAACTCGCAAGAAGAAAAAACTTGCGGAACGAATTAATTTCATCTTGCGAGGCACCACTGTATTTGGATTTTCAAAACATAGGGAATTGGGCTTTTTGCAACAAGGAAAGTGTGGGATATATGGTATTTGCTGCTTTTGTATATACTGCTTTGTTTTGTTTTATATGAAAACAATTGACTATATAATAATTGTTTCATATGAAAACAAATGTATATATATCCGAACAATGGAAAACAACTGCATACATAAGGCTTTTGCTCTTCCTTTTCCCCATTCTGATTTTCCTTCTTCTTTTCTTCTCTCTGTTCTCCAGCTATCAATGGTTATGTCAGAGACAGTCTACCAGGACTAGTGATGGGTCAGCACCAGAGAGTGCGGTGGTATCTGTTGAATGTCGGAGGTGCCAAAGACATCCACTCTGTCCACTTCCATGGGCAAGTCTTTACCATCCGAACGGCCCAGGAGTACCGATTAGGAGTCTACAACCTCTATCCTGGTAAGCTATGAAATGGATGTCTTTATACATAACCTTCTTGCCAGCTTATTTCTGCCTTTGGAATACTATGGAATTTCCTCAGGGGGAAAGAGCTCAGGAGCCAGTGCCTCTTTTATAGCACTAGAGGACACATAGAGCAGTAGAGAGTCAGTGTAGTCCAGCAGTTAGAATGTTGGATTGGATCTGGGAAACCAGGGTTCAAATCCCAACTGGACCATGTAGCTCACTGGGTGAACCTGGTCCAGTCACCCCCTCTCAGCCTAACCTACCCCACAGGTTTGTTGTGAGGATAGAACTGAGGAGGGGTAGAACAAGGTATGCCATCTTGAGCTCCTTGTAGGAAAGGTGGGATATAAATGTAATAATGATAACAATAAACCAAGTAGAAGCCATGTACAGAATAATGCTAAATCATGCTTAGCTTAGATCATGCTTAACTTAAACCAGGGCTTAGCAGAACGCAGTTCTTCAGATTCATCATTGTAGAATTTTAGGGCCATATCCAACTTTTCTCTACCCTAAGTTGGCCCATTGAAATTAATGGACCTAGGTTAGTCATTTCCATTGACTTCAGTGGTTACTGCTCTGAGCAACAACTCTAATATAGCCCTTAAGGGTTAGAAGGGACACTGGAGACTATTTTCTTTCAAAACACATTTAAAGATAGCCAAGAACTGTGTTGCAACATTTGGAAATGTAGATCATATTCCTCAGTTCCTTCACTCCAAGTAAGGACTGGGAGACTTTAGACTCACCTAATATAATGTTATGTGGAGTGTTTTTTTGGTTGGGGGGACGTCCAGTCTGCATGAAACTCTGGTTCCCCTTCCAAACGTAGGATCCTGTATCTGAGGGTAGAATGTATAAGGGGAAATTTGCCAAGTCATTTCTTTTGTCAAGGTAATGGCTTTGGCTGGCTAGTTAAGCACTATCATCTGGCATAACCAAAAGTGTTGCTCTGTGCCATAGAACAAATGGATGGGCCTTTCCCTCACCCTCTTCTCTTAGCTGCTACATAGGAAGAGTTGTGTGTGGGAGAGAGCTGGAAGCAAGCTAGAAAACATGCTTGCTGCGTGCTAGACTTTGGGGCTCTTCATGGAATATTAATTGGGATGCAATAGCTGTTGCAGTATTAATGCTGTAGAGCCCCTCCGTCCTATATGTATATACGTAAATAAAACCATATGTGCTAAAGGCACCACAATCTCTGCTGACCTTCATTCCAAGGAAACTGAACTGGGTAAGTACCCTGGAGTCTCTCTCACTACTTGGAGATTAGGATGGCAGGTAACAACAGGTATAATATGGTACCATCCACTTTACACATTTGAATCTGTTGCTGGTTTTTTAACTAGGAGAATCAACATGGATAGACATAGGCAATGCTGAAGCCCCAACAGCACCCATGTAAACTAGGTGGCTGCTCTCTCCAGCTTTCACACATACTTTGAACGTTCTTTATCATATCCCAGAGAGAGTCTCCCAAAGGCTAACTTGCCCACAACATGTACTGTAACTGAAGCTGACAGAATGGACTGTAGCTATGTGGAAGGCTGTGTAGCTCAGTGGTAGAGCATCTTTTAAAAAATAATAATAATCAGAAGGTCCCAGGATCAGTCCCCAGCCTCGCCAGGTACAGCTGGGAATGCCCCGTGTCTGAAATTATGGAGAGTTGCTGCTAGTCAGTGCAGATAATACAGTACTGATGTTGTATAAAACAGCTTTCTGTGATCTTAACTCCAGTTCTACCAGAGTTCTACCACAAACAAACAAACAAACAAACAAACAAACAAACACACCCTTAGGAAACAGCAATTGTGAGTAGCCTGGGGAAAGGAGTGCTACATCCCTGCTAAATCCTCTCTTCTGCAGATTCCTTGTTCAACTGTAGAGCTCAAAATGCTGCAGATGTGCTTTTTGAACACTGGAGTGTGCAGCAAGGCTGCTTGGCAAAGTGGCAGGAGGAGAAAGTGTGGAGCACTCCCTCTTTCTCCCCCTTTCTCCACTCAATATCATTCCCTCTGTTATAAGAAAAAACTTCTCCTTTTCCCTTATGGGGTATCCAAGAGCCCATATGAAGTTCTTAAGTGGGTTCCCTATCTGTAGGAGAAAATAACAGAGGCAACCAGAGTATATTGAGAAGCAAAGTGCCTAGTAAGCCTGATCTCTATTGCAATAGAAAAGTACTTTTCAACAGGGTCCGCACTCCCCACACAAAGGAGGGAGGAGAGAGAACCCTGAACAATGATGCACAAACCCTTATATAGACTTTTGAAACTGCCCAATCTGTAGTCCAAGACCACCCCCCTGAAGCATCATACATACAGTGGTGCCTCGCAAGACGAAAATAATCCGTTCCGCAAGTCTCTTCGTCTAGCGGTTTTTTCGTCTTGCGAAGCAACCCTATTAGCGGCTTAGCGGATTAGCGCTATTAGCGGTTTAGCGGCTATTAAAGTCTTAGCGGTTTAGCGGCTAAAAGGCTATTAGCGGCTTAGAAAAGGGGGGGGAGCAAAAAAAATCGCAAGACTCACAAGACATTTCCGTCTTGTGAAGCAAGCCCATAGGGAAAATCGTCTTGCGAAGCGCATCGAAAAACGGAAAACCCTTTCGTCTAGCAGGTTTTTCGTCTTGCGAGGCATTCGTCTTGCGGGGCACCAGTGTACATCACAGAAGGATGTATACAGCAGAGGAGGTGATCTACAACAGAAATCCTGTTTGCCAGGATACTTGATAATGGTTACTGATTGCATTACCTGGACAGCCTGGCCATTCTTTTTGAGATGGTTAATACTTTAGTTCCTGAATCCAGGTCACAGGCTCACCCTATTCATACACAAATCTTGTTGACCACCAGCATTATGCTTTCCATTTTTAAGTTCAGAAAATAACTACTCTATTCTGAACTTATACACAAATACACCCTTTAAAACAGGATTTGTAAGCAAAAAGACAATGGGAAGGCTTTCCCCATTTTCCTCCCTTACTTCAGAGGAATATCTGAGGTCACTGGGAGAGTCAAAATGGCTTCAGGATTGCTCTCCTGTACTATTTCAGACACATGGTTTATATACTTATGTATGTGTTTGCCTTGTACATTTATGAACATTTATTTTATATTTGAGACCTTAGGATTGTTATAACACCTCTTAAAGCTGTTTCTCTTAGACAAAGAACTTGCATTTGCATGTAACATCACTTCATTCTGAAGGACCACCCTCTTCACAAGGAGAGTCTCCAATGATCAACCTTAACTTACATGCAAAACTCTTCTTTCCTTCCTCTAGTGTTCAGCACCCAGTAGTGAATAACCAGCTGACCTTCTTTCCACCTTCTGGTTGCAGGTGCCTTTGAGACAGTGGAAATGAGCCCATCCCACCCTGGGATTTGGCAGGTGGAATGTATGGTTGCTGAGCATGAGCAGGCTGGGATGAGTGCCTTCTTCCTAGTGTACGACCAGCGTGAGTAGCAAAGCATGACATTCTTCTTCCTGGCACTTTGATTCACAGATAGGAACAGGCTCAGATCTCCATTTCTCTGTGTTATGTTTCTGAGAACGACATAAAAGGAGTGACAATACATTCCTAAGATCCAGATTTTTACCACTTAGCTCTAGCGGTTGATCAATCCTCACACATCTGCAAGTTGGACTGAAAGCTGCTTTCAACATAAAGCTCACATTTGTTCCTCGTGGCAATCAGGCAAAGAGCAGGTCAGGATACACTTAAAAGAACATTTGTAATGGGTGAAGAGATGAAAGGGAGAATGCTGTTCTGTTGCATTTTACAGCAGGTAATGGGGAATTGGCTGTTGCTTATTGATAGAGCATCTGCTTTGCATGCAGAAGGTCCCAGTTTCAATCCCTGGTGTCTCTAGGTAGGGCTGGGACAGAACCCCTGGCTGAAACCCTGGAGAGTTGTTGCTAGTCAGTGCAGACAATTTTGAATTAGATAGACCAATGTCTAAGGTTCGGTATATAAGGTAGAGTCCTTATTGCTTCTATGGATGCCATGACACCCCAAAAACCTAGGCAGGCTTGAGATCTTTGCAACTTTAGTCCTGCCTTACAAGAGCAAGCCATCAGGCATTCCAAATATTAAGCTGGAATTTGAAATATATTTCATGGTCTGTTGCATTCCCAGGACAGCTCAAAGCCCAGAATTTAGAAAACATTATTTATAAGTCTTTATTAAAATACCATTATATTTTCTCAAACCTTTCATTTCAGGGTGTCAGATTCCTCTGGGCCTAGCTTCTGGCTACATCGCAGACTCACAGATCACAGCTTCAGAACACTATGGTAAGCACTTTATTAATTGATGGAACACTTGTTTCTGCTACAGATTCTTGCCATCCCATTTAGGAGGGATGAGGCATTTGCTAGAACATTACAGCTCCACAGAACTCTGTGAGTGTCTCATATTTTGAAATCGGAACCTCCACACCATGACTCCTGGCTTCCGGTGCTTGCAGGCTCATCCAGGGAGCTCATCCAGACAACCTGTTTATTGTGCATTCATTGTGATTTGCTTGCACAAATATTATATGATGGCTACTCTTTTGCATGCAAAATGCCCCAGTTTCAATTTCCAGACTCTCCAAATAGGGCTGGGAGAGGCTCCTGTCTGAAACTCTTGGGAAGCCAGTCAGGGCTGGTGCATACCTTAGCTTAGTGTAGATTGCGAATCCCTTTTAATTCCCCCTCCTCCCTGAGGGATTCTCCTCCAACTACTGCTGTCTCAGACTTTCTCCTCCCTAAATCCAGAGTTTCCCTATGCTCTGTAAATCCAGATAGGAGTGCTACATCCATTGCACAGGGAATACCCAGATTTAGGGAGGAGAAAGTGTTGGATAGCAGTAGCTGGAGAATGTCATGTGAAGGAGGGGGAATTAAAGGACTCACAACCCACATGAAGCTGAGGAATGGAGAGGCCAGTCAGTGTAGACAATGGTGAATAGATGAATTAATGGCCTGACGGCATAACGTAGCTTCCCATGTCCCCTGGCCCTCCACTGAGGGTGCTTCCAGACTCTCACTGTTTTCAGGTGGGAGTCAGTCACACACTATCTGCAAATTCAGGTTGTGCATCTATAATTATTACAAGGTCTTGTGCGAGAAACCTGCTTCCACAATGAGATCGGACTTTCTGTGATGAGGAAAGTGATAGGAAAACACCCTGGAAAGTATGGAGGAAATGCTTGTTCTGATGCAGTGTCATCTCACCTCCCTGACAACAAATCAGAATTAACACCTATTAAATGGCCAGCATCTCCCTGCAAAAATATCAGAATGAATGATCGATAAACAGGTTGACTGGTAGCACCATGAGTCCTTGATATTTTTAAAGGGATTGGGGGATCCAGAGTAGCACAGGCAGCAGAGTACTCCTCCATTGCTGGTCATTCACTGACATTTCTGCTTTTTCGACGTGTCTGCAGTGGCACAAGCAGTGGTTCCTCTAAAGATGGATGTGGGACCCAGAGATGCAGAAGATGTGCGTGGTGGCGGCAGCTCTAGCTACCTCGCCCACTGCTTGCCTGCAGAGCTGGGTGACTTCAAACAAATGTTTATTTTTTAAAAAGGAGACCAGTGTCAGCCACAGAGCGCCCCTCCTCCTGCTGGCTTTGGCAACTGACCTGCCCATGCTGGCTTCTGGCACAAGGCCTAGATGGGCTTAGTCCTCAGAGACAAAACAGAGACATGCAGACTCCTGTTTACTTATGCATCTATGTGCACTCTTGAAGTGCCATGTTTCCATGTGGAAGTTGCTGTTATTTGTGTCTTATGTGTGACTTTAGCTTTCAACTCATTCTTATTGGGTCCATGGAAATGTTACTTTCATCTGAGTATTCAGAAAATGAGTAGTGTTTTTTTAAAAAAAAATAAGTTTGGGAAAGACACCCAGAGACCAGAGGGATGGAGGATGACATGTCCAGTGGACAAGATGAAGCTTTTCAGGCACCATTTGCACTATACATTTAAAGCAATATCACCCCACTTTAAGCAGGAATGGCTTCCCCCAAAGAATCCTGGGAACTTTCTGTGAGGGGAATAGGGGTCTCCTAACAACTCTCAGCACCCTTAACAAGCTGCACTTCCCAAGATTCTTTGGGGGAAGCCATGGCTCTTCAAAGTGGTATAATAACTGCTTTAATTATATAGTTCAGATGGGCCTCAGTCATTGGTAGGCAACCTCTGGCCTCCTGGCCTAATTTGGTTCACGAAACCATTTCAGCCAAACCATGCTGAACAAAAAGCTCAACAACTTTGCTGAAGCCTCTTCCGAAGAAGCTGAACAAATGTTGGTGCTTCTCCCCAAAAAAGCTCAACAATTTTGGTCAATCCAATGGGTAGATCACTGCCAGCGTTTTTATAGTGGGAGTAGATCGCAGTCTCTTGGAAGTTGGACACCCCTGAAGTATGGCTTCTAGAGCAACTGGAAAAAGCCTGTTGTTGAGAGAGATACTGTTGCTCCCTTCCCAACAATGCCCATTTTCTAATCTAATCCTATTCCTCCTTCCTCCACTTTTTCTGTCCAAGGTCAGTGGGTCCCCAGCCTGGCCAGGCTTGACAAATCTGGTTCAATCAATGCCTGGAGTACTGCAGAAAAGAACGCTTGGATCCAGGTAGGATCAGGAAGGGTGTGTGTGGATCTTGCTGGTGAATAGCACTAGTCTCAGAGGGGTGCAGAATCCTCAAACTAGCCTCTGCCTCAGGCAACGGTGACAGTAAAGGTTTTTAATTCCAGAGAGGAGCCGTATTCAGGCTCCTTTCTCAAGCCTTCTACAGAAGTGTTAACACTTGATTAAGACTACTGCCTAACCCTACTCAGGAGCTATATTCTCACAGATTAGGAGAACCTATGAATGGGGGCAAGTGCCATAACTCCACCACTACCCTAACCACCTTCTACAAGTTGGAGGGTGAGCATTTGCAGTGAAGAGCCAACCATGCTTGTGGATGCTCTTAGGTGAGATGGAACTCTGGTTTCCCAGGGTTCTGCATCACACAGGGAGCCTGCATGAGTACAGGAGACTCCTTTATGGTGATGGTTGCTTACTAACTGTGGAAGGGGGATAGTGATGGTGGTGGCAGCAATGGGGGGGAGAGTGGACTTAGTGAGCTTATCTATCTTCATGCATTCTACTCACTCACAGACAGCTCTTCAACAGAGTAAGTTTTTTTATACTTAAATTTCTGGAGAATGCGTGAGTGAAGAGACTGGGGCTGCCCTCCGAGCCTTTCCTCTGGCATTGGCACATTCAGAGCAAATGCCTGGATGTAGCCTTTGCATGCCAAAGCTTCCAAGAAAACTGATATCCCAGTTGCTCAGGGTTCCAGATCGCATGGAGCCTATATAGATGTGAAGCCTCCCTCTCTCCCTTCAGACCTTTTGCTCTGTATGCTCAGCGTGACTTGCCCTCTGCATCTGAAACTGTAAGTCTAAATCCCTGGAGAGGGCAAGTGTAAAGAAGCAGCTCTTCTGCCCTTACCACAATTGCCTCAGGAGGGAGGCCTACTGTGCCTCCTTCCAAGTTTTTAATCCCTTATCGTGGCTGGCAGTGGAGGCAGGTACATTAGGGCAAATAGGGCACTGTCTCTGCCTCAGTCTCAGGGTTGCCCGTGTAGATAGAGCTCAGCAGGGAGGAGGAGGAGAAGGACAGAACTAGTATTACAGTGGTGCCTCGCAAGACGAAATTAATTCGTTCCGCAAGTTTTTTCTTCTTGCGAGTTTTTCGTCTTGCGAAGCACGGTTTCCCATAGGAATGCATTGAAAATCAATTAATGCGTTCCTATGGAAACCGCTTGCCAGGCTGGCAGTGCGGAGAAGGGCCTTTCTCCCCACCGCAAGCCTTCAGGACAGGTACGGGAACAGAGGGGAAGGCGCGCAGCGCTTTTCCTCTGTTCCCGGGGCTTGCGTGGGAGGAGGGTTTTTCCTCCCCACCGCCAACATTCAGAACAGCATTCTGAATGTTGGCGGTGGGAAGGAAAACCCTTCTCCCACCCCAAGTCTTCAGGACAGCCTTCCGAAGCCTGGTGGCGGGAGGAGGTCTCTCCGCCCCCCCGCCAGGCTTCGGAGCATCCTTCCGAAGCCGGGCGGCAGGAGGAGGTGTTCCCGCCCCGCCGCCCGGCTTCGGAGCAGCCTTCCGAAGCCTGGCGGCGGGAGGAGGTGTCCCCGCCCCGCCGCCCGGCTTCGGAGCATCCTTCCGAAGCCGGGCGGTGGGAGGAGGTGTCCCCGCCCCGCCGCCAGGCTTCGGAGGAGGTCCGAGGACAGTGGGGAAGACGCGCTGCGCTTCCCCGCTGTCCCGGAGATTTCCCTATTGGGCTTTTGTCTTGCGAAGGAAGCCCATAGGGAAATTCGTTTTGCGAAGCGCCTCCAAAACGGAAAACCCTTTCGTCTAGCGGGTTTTCCGTCTTGCGAGGTGTTCGTCTTGCGGGGCACCACTGTAGTTGGTTCTGCCTGTCATTGGCTTTCTTGGTCCAGCTGCTGTGGGGCAACCTGCCTCATGCCCTTCCAGTCCCAATGCGCTGTCTAGGAAGGAACACCCATCGGCTATGAGCAGTCGTGAGGTAGAGACCAGTGAGCCCTTCATGTCTCCACAGGAACAAGAGCTGCCTGTGGATAGGCAGGGTGAAGCAATTTGTTTTTAGGGGTGTGTGTGTGTGTGTGTGTGTGTGTGTGTGTGTGTGTAGATAGACAAATAGATGATAGATAGATAGATTTTTTTTTAATCCCAGAAATTTGCTGCCCTGTGCCCCTTAAAAGGAGAGGCAGGAGACACACACACACAAAATATACATATACATATAGATTAGTTGCAGCCTTCTCTTCCTGAACATGGATCTTTCCTAGCCCTATCCGAAGATACCAAGGACAGTGGTGGCAGGTCCTCTCTGGGGCTGGTGGGGAAGAAAGCAGGAAGACCAACAGGCAGTACTTGAGCCAATGACAGTAGAGCCAGATAATTCTAATGTTTGCCCTCTTGAGTTTTACAAGGGGCAACACTGAGACTGAGAAGGAAGCAGATGGGCAGGGCCACCCACTGGGTAGTCATAACTAAGAAGATAGGTGTAGGAGGAATTGAAATTGAAATACTTTATTGTCACTTGTACAACTTATATACAGTGAGATTACACGAGCACCCCCCACTCAGCTCTTTTAGTCTTCATTCCCCTCATTTACTGACACACACAAACCAAACCCGAAAGTCAGTTGCCCTGTTGTTATCTTTCCATTCAGCAGCCTAACAGCCCACGGATAGAAGCTGTTCTTTACCCTGTTGGTGCAACTAATCATGCTTCTATATCTTCTGCCTGAGGGCAGGAGATCAAGAAAGTGCTGGCCAGGGTGTGAATCATCCCTGAGAATTTTCCTCACTCTCCTGAGGCAATGTTCTTCCGCTATTTCATCCAGCGGATTCATGGGACAGCCCATAATATATTGTGCTGTATTCACCTCCCTCTGTAGGCACTTCTTATTAGATGATGTCAAACCAGCGTACCACACCGTGATGCAGTATGAAAAGACACTTTCTATTGTTGACCGATAGAAAGAGATCATCAAATGTTGATTGACATCGTTCTTCCACAATACTCTGAGGATATGGAGTCTCTGTTGGGCTTTCTTAACCACCTGGGTTGCATTTATTTTCCAAGTAAGGTCTTCACTGAGATAAACTCCTAGGAATTTAAAGGAAGAGACTCTTTCCACACAGTCCTCGCCGATGTACAGCGGGGCTAGTTCTCCTCTCTTCCTCTGAAAGTCCAACACCATCTCCTTTGTCTTGCTGATATTAAGGTGCAAGTTGTTCCCTAGGCACCATGTAGATATTTTTTGGACCTCCTCTCTATACGCTGATTCGTCTCCACCTGTTATTAAACCGATTATGGTGGTGTCATCTGCAAACTTAATAATTGCAGTAGACGGGTCAGATGATACACAATCGTATGTATACAATGAATACAGGTAGGGACTTAGCACACATCCCTGTGGTGTGCCAATGCTGATTTTTAAGGAATTAGATGTTACATGTCCAATCCTCACTGTTTGTGTTTGATCTATCAGAAAGTCTTTATTGAATTGAGACTGAAGTTGGTGGTGTAGTGCCTTATTTGCCCTAATGGACAAGCCTCCAGTGGTAAAGGATTGAACCTGGAACTTTCTGAATGCAAAACTTTTGCTCTCTCAAGCTCAGTATCATTTGCCCTGAGAAGCAACCTCTCTCCCTCTCCCTCTGCTATCTCTGGCCCTCATAGCTTCCAAAAATCAATTGTCTCACTTGGTGTGAATTCCTGCTTTCTATTGTCCAGGTAGACCTGCTACGACAACAGATCATCCATGGAATAAAGACACAAGGAGCCCGGCAGAAGTTCTCCAGCCTCTACATCTCCCAGTTTGAGATATTCTACAGTAGTGATGGAGAGAAATGGAAGTGTTATAAAGGCAATGCCACCAGCTCCAAGATGGTGAGTGCCCTTTCTCCCTCATCTTCCTCTAACCAGAAGGCAGAGAGCAAAGAAAATGGAAAGGAAGAAGGCACAAAGGAAAGCAAAATTTAACCTTGAAACCCCCCCCCCCGATATGCAGACTTTGCCATTGCACATACAATAGCAAACATGTTTTTTCCACTTTGGATTGGAAGTGCAACAGCAGAGATTATTCAGTATGTATTCAGTATGTAGCTCACAGGTTTGTTCAGTTTTTGGTGTAAGCTGCGCCTGCCAACCTAGCAGTTCGAAAGCACCCCCGGGTGCAAGTAGATAAATAGGGACCGCTTACTAGCGGGAAGGTAAACGGCGTTCCGTGTGCTGCGCTGGCTCGCCAGATGCAGCTTGTCACGCTGGCCACGTGACCCGGAAGTGTCTGCGGACAGCGCTGGCCCCCGGCCTCTTGAGTGAGATGGGCGCACAACCCTAGAGTCTGTCAAGACTGGCCCGTACGGGCAGGGGTACCTTTACCTTTACCTTTTTACCTAAGGGGTGGTGTTTGTGTTGCTTAGCAACCAGTCAGAGTGGCATGAACTTTACTGAGGTATCATGTGCCCTGATTTGCTGTATAGTCCTGAGGGATTTCTCTTCTGTATGTTTAGGTGAATGTCCCTTTGTGATGTACAATGCCTGAAATAAGAAAGACAAAACAACTCTGTTTCACCTTTCTCCTCAAATTATATGCAGTTTTACTCCATTTCCTTAGTAAAGTGTTATCAGGATTTTTCTCTCTGAACTCCAACTGCCTTATTTAAATCCCTTTGCTAACATTTAGGACTTTGGAACAATAGAAGCAGAAGCAGAACTTATGCTGTAATCCTTACTTCAATTACTTGGAAGTAAACTTCATTGAATTCAGTGTGTCTTACTTCTGAATAGACATATGCAGGATTGCACTGTCAGAAACCATGAAGAGAAACAATCAGTAAAAAAAAAAATACAAGCCCTTTGACCCTGGGAATCTCCACCCAATGCAAAACATAGAATGATGTGAATGTACATGACCTTCCCAAATTATTACTAAAGTTAAGTACAGGTTCTTATTGATAAGAGAGGGGACCTGGTAGCCCTTCAGGTGTTAGATTCCAACTCCCAGCCAGCATGGCCAATGGTCAGGGATGAAGGGCACTGTAGTCCAGCAACATCTGAAGGGCTGCACATTCACTAGCCCTGCTCTAGTTGATTGCTTAATATTTTATAATTAACAGAAGAATGGATGATCTGACTTGCAAAGCTTTGAGTTGGGCATAATGAGTTGTAGTGTTGGTTCAAGGAAAAAAATAGGTATAACAGAAAGGAGAGTTCCTGGATTCCAAAACCCAAGTTTGAGGCAAGTGCTCTTTGGTGAGAGAATCCCAGCCATAAGTCATAAAATGTGCAGCAAAGTAAAGTGCAGAAATTAAAGGCTGCTAACTTTTAAAATATGCCCTTCAAAGTGAGTTCCAAAACTGTCCCCTTAAAAAAGTTTCTTTCCAAAGTTTCCCTCTTCCTCATCGTAGAAAAAGGCCATATGTTGGGTGAGTTAAAATTGGTTTACTTACAAACTCTCCCAAGATTCATGTGCTTTCCCATACAGCATTAAGAAAAAAATGCACAGGCAGTAAAACTTGGCTTAGTTACAAAGTAGTGAAAGTTCCTAGATTAGAGGTTAGCCTCCTCACACACTGAGTTTCTCGTGTAGACGACGGTTACAAAATTGGTTAAGCCTGGCAGGACAGTTTACTCTGTGGTATTATTCATGCATTAATTAGACTTATGCATGTTTATTAAATGAAGCTGCTTATCCCACACTATGTGTGGTGTAATCTAATGTTTACTCAGTAGTCAGTTTCATTGAGGTCAAGTAGACTTACTCCCTAGTAAAAGGATTTAGATTTAGGATTGTCGCCGCATACATTCAAGAAATCATGTGAAGTTGCAGAACTTACTTGTGAGGACTAGTCATATGGCAGAAAGCTATTGAATATTACCTTCTTTATTTTGTTAATGCATACTCTTCTTTGGGTAGTTTAAAAATGTACAATTTTAGACTGCAATTTCATAGTCGCTTTTCTGGGAGTAAGCCCTCTTAAGCTGAGCAGAACTTACTTCTGAGAAGACATGTAGAGGGTACTGCAGTTATTGTCATGCACCCAGGTATTTTTAACCATGCTCAGAGCTTCATAGACTCCACAGGTCACACTTTGTACCAGACAAGTGCAAACATCAGTGGTATTATTATGAAGGATTCAGCATCCTTAGAACCTCAGCTTTAACTTAAACGCAAAAGCAGAACACCTCACCAAGTTTGTAGTCCTTAAGACTGTAGTGATAGCCTATGTTTAAATGTGCAGGGAATTCCTGGTGAACTCTCTCAGAAACCTGTGACCAAGAGCAGGGCATCAATGCTTTTTACCCCTCTCTACAACTAGCAAAATTGGAATAAATTGGGCCAAACGGGAAATATTCAAGTGTACTGAACAGGCATACTTTTAGAAGGAATTCAGCTTTTCTTAGCAAATAATTTGGATTATCTTGGCATAGAATTTTATTTTTTTTAGCACACACCACCTATGTAAGATGCCTCAAAACTAGGTATAGAGAGTAAAAAGGTGAAATATAGAGAGCTGTCTTACACTGTGTCAGAGCATTTAGCTCAATATTGTCTACACCGGCTGGCAGCCACTCTCTTGGGGTCTTTCTCAGACATATTTAGCAATGCCAGATATTAAGTTGAGGACCTTTTGTAAGAAAAGCTTGTTCTCTGCTGCTGAACTATGGCCCTTCCCTTGCTATTCCAGTTAAATTAATATTTTTAAAGGGTGTGTGTCATTGACCTCATGACTTCCTAAAACTTCTCTTTGTTTTTATATGGAAAGCTTGCCTTCAGTGCCAGAGTGTGGATTCCATGCAGGCTTTGCATAGCCCCTGATCACAACTTCCATTCCCACCTCTGTGTTTTTCTCTCCTTGCCTGCAGATATTCTTTGGGAACGTGGATGCAGCAGGCGTGAGAGACAACAGCTTTAACCCTCCCATTGTAGCCCGCTATATCCGTCTCCACCCGACACACTTCAGCATCCGCAACACATTGCGCATGGAGCTCATCGGATGCGACCTGAACAGTATGGCAGTGAGGCCCTCTCATCCTTCACATTCATAGAATCCGTAGGATTGCAGAGGTGGAAGAGACCTTGGAGGTCCTCTATTTCACTTGCCTAGTGAAGAATCTGCCATATAAGATGCAACTCTAGCGTCCCTGAGAGATGGCTGTCCAACCTCTGCTTAAATATCTCCAGTGAAGGAGAGCTCACCACCTCCTGAGGTGGTCTGTTCCTCTGTTGTACAGCTCTTTCCCTTTCTCTTGATGTTTACCTGAAATCTGTTTCTCTTCCCTTTTTCCACCCATTGGTTTTCCTTCTGTCCTCTGGAGCATCAGAGAACATGTCTGCTCCATCTGTCATGCCTCCCCTTAATTATTTCTTGTCCAGGGTTAACATGCTCAGCTCTTTCAACCATTCACCATAGGACTCGGTTTCTAACCCACAAGAAGTGTTGGAAATCAACATAAGGTTTCTTACAACCATGTCAGTGCATGGCAAATGTAAACTTGAAGGTGTGACCAGGGCCACTTCAGGAACTGAGGGCCTCCCTTGGCAGGGTGGGAAGGAGAGGGCTCTTGAGGGCAAGTGAGGGTTATGTTGTTTCTTCACTTTTCTCTCCTAGGCTGCTCTGTGCCACTAGGAATGGAAAGCAATGCTATCTCCAATGAGCAGGTCTCAGCTTCTTCCTACATCAGCAATGTGCTTTACACTTGGTCCCCCTTTCTGGCCCGGCTTAACTTGAATGGGAGAGTCAATGCTTGGAGACCAAAGGTAATTTTGTGTATGGGCAGGAAGGATCTAAGGCAGAGCTTGTGAACCTGTGGCCCTCCTGCTGTCGTACCAGCTCCAGCCAGCATGGCCAATGGTCAGGGATGATGGGAGTTGTAGTCCAACAACATCTGGAGGGCCACAAGTTCCTCATTCCTGCTCTAGATTGTTACTCAGCATTGTATGATTAGCAGGTGAATGGGTGAACTGACTGTTGCAAAGCATTGAGTTGGAGATGGTATGAAGCATTATGGTGTGAAGCATTATCTGTGGTGGACTATGTGCAGTGCAGTCCTGTTTAAATCCCACCTCCTGGCTCCTTCCCTTCCCAGCTGTGCTCTGTGCCCTCCTTGAGTGCCTGGAAGGTGTCCCTGAATGTGTGTGTGTGTGTGTGTGTGTGTGTGTGTGTGTGTGTGTGTAGAAACCAGAGGTGGGAGAGAAATTTAATTTTGCTTGCATTTAAACAAAAACCTACCTGATTCACACTCTGTTAACCAATACACTTACTGAAACACAGCTATCCTTCTAAAGTCACATTTTCCTGAATTTTGTGATGCAGTTCTTCAGCCAAACAATGCATACATAAATGCTTATTTTAGGGGAAAGTTTGCCTAAAAATAAATATGATGGCATATCAAAATGTAATATAACAGGGAAAATTTCTTGCAAAAATGTGTACATTAGCCAAAGTGCATACAAAAGTATATATTAGGAGAAACTGATTTCTAGGGGACATTTCGATTTTAAAAAAATAATAAACTGATGTGGAAACTTGGAGAAGTGAAGACTGGAAATATGGAAATCAAAATGGGCATATTTGCCCATCTCTCAGGGTATATACATATGGGAGAAGGTGGTCCTTCAGAAGCTGTGACCACAAGCTGTGAAGGGCTTTTTTTAAAAAAAAATGTCCTCCATGCTATTTAACATTTATATGAAGCTGCTAGGAGCTGTCACCAGGAGATTTGGAGTGAGGTGTCACCAATATTTAGATAACACCCAGCTCTTCCTCTCTTTTTGATCTGAATCAGGAAAATCATAGAAACATAGAGTTGGAAGGGATCCCGAGTGTCATCTTGTCCAACTCCCTGCAATGCAGGAATCTCAACTAAAGCATCCATGACAGGTAGCTAGCCAACCTCTGCTTAAAAACCTCCAATGAAGGAGCGTCCACTACCTCCCAAAAGAGTCTGGAGGTGGTTGAGGTATTAGACTAGTACCTGGAGGCAATATTGGACTCCATGTGGGCCAGTAACTTTAAGCTGAATCCTGAAAAGAAAGAGGAGGTGTGAGTCCAGGAGGCAGGGAGATGTCCTGCCTTGGACAGGGCAGCACTCCCCTGGAAGGGGGAGGTCTAGCTTGGGGGTGCTCCTGGATTCAACACTGTCACTGGAGGCTCAAGTGACTAGGAATGTCTTTTTCCAGCTCTGGCTGGTTTGCCAGCTATGACACCTTTCTGACAGAAACAAATTTGCTATGGTATTCCATGCTCTGGTTACTTCCCAATTGGATTACTGCAATGCACCCTATGTGGGTCTTTCCCTTGAATATAGCATCCAAAATGCAGTGGCCAGATTACCGACTGGGGTTTCCTATAGAACTCATATGACCCCTGTTTCAAAATAGAACAGGTTGCCGGTTAATTTTCGGGTCCAATTTTAGGTGCTTACACTCATGTTTAAATAACTTAGGTCACCAATACTGAAAGACTGCCTCCTTCTCTACAGATCCTCTTTAGTTTTAAACTCAGCAGAGGGGGCCCTCTAGTTAGTTCCACCACCCTCAGAAGGTTCATGGGCTCATGGCCTGGGAGTGGGCCTTCTCTGTGGCAGCCCCCTAAGTTGTTGAATTCCTTCCCCACAAAGATGTGTTGTACTTACATTGTACAGTATTTTGTATGCTTGAAGACACACCACTTTGACACAGGCCTTTGACCCTGCTATCTTTTGTTGTGCAATGCGCTGAAGAGCACTGAAGTTAAAATGGGAAAAACCAGAGAGGTTTAAAGAAGTGTCCCAGGGCAGCCATAACAGCAGGCACTTGAAGGCCTCACTGTCTTTTCCGCAGGTTGACAGCTCAGCGGAGTGGATTCAGGTGAACTTTCGTAGGACCATGCGGGTGACTGGGTTGATGACTCAAGGTGCAAAGTCTGCCTTCACCAAAATGTTCGTGAAGGAGTTTTCTCTTTCGAGCAGCCTGGATGGCAAGCACTGGGCCTCTGTCCTACAAGGCGGCAAAGAGAAGGTAAATAAGGCCTACACTTCTGGGGTGTCACTGGTGCTCCTTTATTCCAGCCAGTGACGGCTCCCTTGTTTTTCTCACTTGAATGTTATATGTCTTCCGGGTGGGTAGGTGGCAGGGAGGCAATTTTATTTCCTTGTTTAACTCAAACTATATGGCACACTAAACATGCTTTAAAAAAAAAAAAAAAGCATTGTGGAAAATTAAGATGGCCGTCTCTCCAGGGTAAGCCAACAATATATTGGAGATGTTGTGGGTAGCTCCTGGACATCCAAAGTTTTTTAGAAGGAGAAGCCTGGGCAGGTGTCATTAATGGGTGGGTGGTACTGTGGTCTAAACCACAGAGCCTTCAGGGCTTGCTGATTGGAAGGTTGGCGGTTTGAATCTCCGCAACAGGGTGAGCTCCTTTTGCTTTGTCCCAGCTCCTGCCAACCTAGCAGTTCGAAAGCATGCCAGTGCAAGTAGATAGGTACCACTGCGGTGGGAAGGTAAACAGCATTTCCATGTGCTGCTCTGGTTTCCGTCACGGTGTTCCGTTGCGCCAGAAGTGGTTTAGTCATGCTGGCAACATGACCCGGAAAGCTGTCTGTGGACAAACACCGGCTGCCTCGGCCTGAAAAGCGAGATGAGCACTGCAACCCCATAGTCACCTTTGACTGGACCTCACCATCCAGGGGTCGTGTACCTTTACCTAATGGGTCCCACAAGAGGCCAACGCTGCTATGTGGCAATAATGGCCTGACCCAGCCCCGGTAAACTTTATCGTCTTTTTCAAGCAGCTTTAGAGGTCGAAGGAAGAATTAATTATCCCGCCCACCTTCTTTTCAGATTTTCCAGGGAAATCAAGATCATTTCAGCCCAGTGGTGAACCTCCTAGACACTCCACTATTTGCTCAATATTTGAGGATACACCCTGTCCGCTGGAATAACCACATTGCACTGAGGATGGAGTTTTTGGGCTGCGATACCCAGCAGATGGCCTAGCCTGGATGCACCTGCACTTTTGCCAATGCAGCGAACTTTCAGCAGCCCTTGTGCAAGCCACCCACGCCATGCCAGCTGGAACAAGCTTATATCAGTGACATTTGAGCAAAATGATTTCTGTCACCCATATATTTTTGATAATGTTTTTGTAGCGTAAGAAACAAAAATCATTGTAAGGCTCATGCTTCTGCACCGATTACTGGAAACATATTGTTTCTTGCAATACGTACCTGCATCGTGGTTCTTAGGGCTAAACTAGGGGTAATATTAACTGTGTGTTTGCAATTAATGTGTCTAGTTGTTGTTGGTTTGTTTAAAAAAAGGAGTTGTTTATGAGTGTGGGGCGGGAGATCAGGATTGGATCTATGGCACACGAGGAGGAGGTAAAATGATGGTTCTCCACGCTGCAGTGCTGCAGCCCTCAAAAAAGTGCTCTTATTCACCCAATGATGAAAGCTTCTTATGATGCCAGTGGCAACTTCTCACCTGGAATGAATGGCGATTCTGAGAGAATGAGATGTCCCATAATGAGCATGGTCTTCACTGGGGGCCCCATGGCTGCTTTTGAAATTTTAAAAAACTAGACATGTGAATTTAAATCATGTAATCAATGCCATATTATTTGGTTTGCTTGCTGTAATTTTAATCACAGTTACTTGGAAGTAAGGCCCACAGAACTATGTGCATCCTATTTTGGTCCACACATGCATAGAATTAAGGTGAGTAAAATAAGGAAATATTTTCTAGCATCGGTGTTATGAGAAAAATATAAAAACCCATTGAAATATAAAATGTGAATGAGTCCTAAATAGACAGATATAGTCAGTAGAACAGGGATCGCCCCCCCCCAAACCCCTGATGCTGTTGTACTTTAATTCATATCAGTCCCAGCTAATGGTCAGGAATGATGGGAGTTGTAGTTCAGCAACATCTGGAGGGCCACAGGTTCTCCACCCCTGAATTAGAATTTGCTACATAAGAATAGAAGAAGAGCCCTGCTGGATTATACCAAAGGTCAGTCTAGTCCAGCATCCTGTTTTCCACTGTTGGGCAATCAGGTGTCTCCAATTGTTTGCTTAATTCCGTTTCAAACCATCCATCGCATGAAGGTGGACAGTCGATAAATCTATCAAGTCGCTTCCTTCTTTGTGCTGTATAAGAGCCAATGCCACAATCTTAACCATTGTTTTCCATCAGGAGAAGACATACACTTTCAGATCCTTTTGGATGTTGTTACAAAATGTGAGTGTGTCAAGCATTTTTATGCCTTTCTGTTTTCAGATTTCTACCTGTGCGTATCTGTAGTCAGAGAACAGTGCCTCATGATTAAAGACCACTTGTCTTGTTAAGATCTGTACTTTCTCCTCTTGTTTTCCTTCCTTGACTGATTCCTGAGCTTTCCCAGCATTAAAAGTCCTAGCTGCAAGCACAGTCAGCATTAATAGCAGGTAATAATTAATTAGTGAGGGAGGCCTCCTTCTGCAGTTTATAGTTATTTTCTATAAACTCCTGGGATCTCAAATAACTGGAGAGGCAAAACATGTTTGACTTATTATTTGATTTTTTTTCTTGATTTGCATACCACCTTTCAAAAGACCCGTCCAACGTTGTTTGTTGTACAGTACTAGCAAGAAAAGCAGTCAGAAAAGGAACAACATTGGTCATATATACACACCAGTCATTTAAAGCACATGGTTTCCCACAAAGTAGTTTGCCCCCTGGGAATTGTAGTTTGTTCAGGGTGCTGGGAATTTTAGCTCCATGAGGGGCAAACTACAGTTCCCAGGATTCTTTGCTATAACTGGTGTGGATGTGATCAACAAGTACACCTGCATAAGTTTTAAAAGAGAATTTAAGAGCTGGCATAGAGGTGATAAGGCTTAAGCATGTGTAAAAGGTGGCTTGGCAGATTTCCCTAAGAGGGAGTTCTACAGCCATGGTGCCAGCACTGAAAAGGCCCTGCCCTTGTTACCAGCCAATCAGATCGTAACAGGTCATAGGGCAGAGAATAGGGCCTCTGAAGTTGACTTTAGGGCCACAGTACTATCATTAGGACACAAATGGTCCTTGGGCATTTGAGAAGGAACAGCAGATTGTGGCCACAGGGATACCTTGCATCCATGACATCTAGGTTTTGTGAGTGCTAAAGCCCCCACTGTAGCCTTGGCTGCTACCTGGTGAAACAGCTGACTGTACAACAATAATGGAACAGGGCTGAGGCTGCCAATCATTTGTCAATGCTATCCCAGCTGCTACAAAATTAAAGATAATGACATTTTTTAAAGAACATGACTCTGCTTTCCAACAAGTAAATTAAGCAACACCGAGGTAGGTTAGCAAAGAGTGAGTGACCCAAGGCCCTGTAGTGAATTTCCTGGCTGAGCCCAGGGTTCCCTAGACACAGCCCAACACTATTTATTTATTTATTGTGAATTGTTTTAGTGGGTGTATTTAATGTAAGCTGCTTCTGAGAGCCATTATAGCTGAAAGACAATTTTATTAATATAGTGACTCAATAAATAAGGCTACAGAACTGCTTCCACTTTCCTGGGAGTCAAACCATCAAACTTTGCAAAATACCTGAAGGATTTGGGGGGCACATGCCCATGACATAAATTTGAATAAAAGTTGTGTGTATTAATTTCCACGCCTGGATGTGGGAAATTAAGACTGGGTGTGGCTGTGCTCTTGCCAGCACTGTTTATTAGAGTGAGCCTAACTTCCCTATAAAGCAAAGTAAACTCCGGGGGGGGGGGTAAAGAAGAAAGGAGGGAAACAGGGGTGCCAACTTAAATATTGTGGGTACCCAGGTAAGCCCTACCCCACATAATTGATCACATGACACAGTGCATGCATACTATTTGAATGGGAATGCCCATCCATCAACTTTGTGTCCATCAAATATTTTATTGTGAGGGACGAAGCCCCCATGCCCCCTGGGAGTTGGTTCCTATGGAGAGAAAGCTGCAGTAGATCTGAGATCCATTGCAAAAGACCCAGGGTTCAGGTGCTCTGGACTATACCCTAAAAGTACCTATGTTTCTAAGTGGACATTTACAGTGGTGCCTCGCAAGACGAAATTAATTCGTTCCGCAAGTTTTTTCTTCTTGCGAGTTTTTCGTCTTGCGATGCACGGTTTCCCATAGGAATGCATTGAAAATCAATTAATGCGTTCCTAGGGAAACCGACTTCAGACCAGGTCCGGGGACAGTCTGTCCCCCGACCTCTTCTGAAGGCTGGGGGGGGGGGACAAGGGCTTTTCTTCCCACCCCCAGCATTTTAAAAAACCCCGGGACAGCGGAGGGCTTCTCCGCTGTCCGGGGCGATCTTAAAATGCTGGCGGGCGGCATTTTAAGATCGCCCCGGGACAGCGGAGGACTTCTCCGCTGTCCGGGGCGATTTAAAAGCCCCTGGGAAGTCAGGCAGGGGGGACAAAGACTTTTGCCCCCCGCCAGCCTTCAGAAGAGGTCCTGGACCTCTTCTGAAGGCGGGCGGGGGGCGAAAGTCTTTGCTCCCCCCCCGCCTGCCTTCAAAAGCCCTCCGGGACAGGCAGGCAGGGGGGAGCAAAGACTTTCGCCCCCCGCCCGCCTTCAGAAGAGGTCCAGGACAGCGGAGAATCGCACTGCCGGGGCGATTTTAAACCCGCTGTCCAGGGTTTTTTTAAATGCTGCTGGGCGGCAGCGCTGCCACCCGGCAGCATTTTAAAATCGCCCCGGACAGCGGAGAAGTCCCCCGCTGTCCCGTGGTTTTTAAAAAACCTCTCCGCCCCCCGCCAGGCTTCGGAGCAGCCTTCCGAAGCCTGGCGGTGGGAGGAGGGCCGAGGACAGTGGGGAAGACGCGCTGCGCTTCCCCGCTGTCCCGGAGATTTCCCTACGGGGTTTCGTCTTGCGAAGGAAGCCCATAGGGAAATTCGTTTTGCGAAGCGCCTCCAAAACGGAAAACCCTTTCGTCTAGCAGGTTTTCCGTCTTGCGAGGCGTTCGTCTTGCGGGGCACCACTGTATAGGATTGTGCTGTACATCTTCCCAGGAATGTTGCTGTTAAAGATACAGGAATGCCTTTCAAGGTCATGCACCAGTATTCCCATATAGTTGAGAGCTGTGATGTCACAAAGGTTGTCTGGTTCCATGTGGATATTGTGGAAATCAGGCAGAGCTTCTGGGTGTGGGTTTTTCCACTGGCATCTGCATCACGGTATGTTGAGCATAGTACTAAAAACATGGGTTTACTTATGTGCCTTTTAACCAGGGCTGACTCTGCTATATCTGATAATGTAGCTGTCAGCTCAGTGCCCAGCACTTATTACAAAATCAATAGCATATTAAAGGTTATTTTAAAGCTGCTATTGGTAGACCCAAGAGCTGTGCGTGGAATCTGTGATTGTGACAGTACAAGTGTAAAATTAGTGTGCATCTTAGTGTGTTCATATATGTGTATTGTGATAAGCTGGGCTTTTTTAAAAATGGGGGGGGGAGGGGAAGTGATAGATTGCAAAACACCTCCAAGGTATGTAACTGGACAGGTTCCAAGACATGCTCAAATGTTCCAAGGCCAAATACTGCTTCAAATCAAGCCTGTCTCAGGAGGAACGAATTGCATTCTGCACCACTGAGCGATTAATGGGGTGTGAAGTGCCTGCCTCTGCTATGACAAATGATGTATATCTGCAGCATGATCTGCTCAGTAAAATAAGGGCAATGGAAAGACAATGGAAAGGAAATTGTTGATTGCCTGTGAGCTGCTCTGGATTAAAGGAACATTGCCCTGTCAAACCATCGTTTTAAAAATGGATACTGTTCTGATTTCTGGGTGAGCAGGTTTTTCCTAATACTGCACAGCAACAGGCCTATAAATGTGCAGAAATACTTTAAAAAGAAATTATTTGCTGGTGTTTAAAGATTACCAGATTGGGAGGAGAAAATATTTATTTTTTAAAAATAGTGGTTAGTATCCCACCTGTCACATGGGAGGCTCAGGTTCTTTTAAGGATTGGATAGCTCAGTTCTTGTTTAGAGCATGGTGCTGATAATACCAGGGTTGCAGGTTCGATCCCCATATGGGACAGCTTCATATTCCTGCATAGAATATTATTCTATGATTCATATCATAAAGATATCAGGACGGTGTACAACAATACAACATGAAACACCATTATAAATGCTGCAAATAATCACAAAAAGTGCTTGCAAAGGCCTGTCAGCATGCAAAGATGCCTGGAAGTCAGAAGAGAATGTTCCTGGGGAAGCCCAGCCAGATGGACAGGGTATAAATAAATTATAATAATAATTATTATTGTTATTGTTATTTATTATCTCTGCTGGAAGAGTGTTTTACAGCATGGGACACTAAATGACCAGGGACATTAAATGCCAGAATCCTAGCAGAGGCCAGTCGGGCCTTGGCAACATGGGGTGCTTGTTGACAAAACCAATAGAAAACTGGCCAGAGAGCTAGTCTGGGTGCTGTCTGTCTACTGCTGAAGCCTGAAACAAAGAGAAATTAGACATGCTGCCACCCGTACCCCCTCAACATTCCAACTAGATCTACAATTAAAGTGGGGTGGGGATACATCTGAAATGACTCCCCCCTGCTGCTTTAACCTAGGGTTGCCAGACATTCCCGGGGACAGTCCCCGGATTTGAAAATCTGTCCCCGGACAAATTCCATCCCTGGAATGTCCCCAGATTTGCAAATCTGTCCCCGGGAAATGCGGCAGCGGCAGCAGCCCGGACCCAGCCTGTTACTGCAGTTGGCTCTGGCTGGCTTCAGGAGCTGCTCGCTGCCATGGCGCCCGCCATTTTTCTGTGCCACAGCGGTGAGCAGCTCCTGAAGCCAGCCAGAGCCAACTGCACTACCAGGCTGGCCCCTCCTGGGCAATGGCTGCCCGCCTGTGACTCCCGAGCCTCCCCTGATCTGTCAAAACAAAGGGGGAAGGGGGAAGGAGATCGGGGAAGGCTCAGGAGTCACAGGCACGCGGAGTGCCGTTGCCCAGTTTTTTTAAAAAAACTCGCATTTATGTTTCACAGTGAGAAAGAAGGGCTTTACTCCTTTATACAATATGCATGTGTGCTTGGGCCCAGGGTCTTTTGCCTCACCATCCCCACTACTGACTCCTTGTTGTTACCCAGCTTCAAAAAAAGAGTGTCCCCCGATGCATTGGGGGGGAAAATCTGGTAACCATACTTCAACCATCATGGGCAAGTGTGCTGGTGACCTAGAACTGGACGACAGAGTGCAAGGGTTGCCGGGCCAGGATAGTCCTACAGGCTAATATATCAGGGGCCAAACCTGAGGCTTAGGGACTGCCCTTGGTGATGACAAGGGGATGCTCCCCTGCTGATGTAATGGGAACAGGCCCT